ACCCAAGTAACGAGCGGACCCACCACCAGGGGAGCAGTGTACTGATGGAGAATGGCTCTTGTACTGATTGCACGTGTGAGTTGTCATTGAAGGACTCAATATTCAGCCAAGCGACTGATTAAAACGTTTAGGCTTCGTGCCATCAATGAAATGATTAGTCCTCCCATTCTACCCACTGAAAGACATTTACTAGACATTTACGGCTGTGGCAATGAGAGACAATAACAAAAACAACACCGTGTATTTTACTGCATGGCTGCCGAGATTATTGCACCTGAATAATATAATAGATGTTTTTACGTTTTTTTTTTTATTGTGTTGTGTTGCCCAATGGCAGAATCCATAATCGTATACACTGCTCTTGCCTTGAGTCCTAATATGGTTATAAGCAGACGTGTCAATGATTCCCAGTGGAAATCTAATGTAAAGAGACTAAAAAAGAAGAAAAAGAGTTAGTATTGATCATCCTTTCCATCTGATTTTCCGTGTGTGATTGCAACGGCATTTCAACATATGTCATAACAATACTATTAATATTAAGGTGGTGTTCTTTTCATATAACAATTCTCAAGATCAGTGAGAGAAACTATTTTTAGAGAAACTAAATAAACACGTTTTCTAAATGTTCTAATTATAATGACAACAGACTCTCTCAAATGACTCTTATATTTATACTTTCAAGTTTCAATCCCCCAGTTATCAATAGTAATAGTGTGCATTTCCCCCTCTAACATCTATGACAGCTTGGAGTCTATTGTGTTAATTTATTGTCCTTGTAGGAAAATCTGTCCTTTGTATTTGACCCATCCTTCCAATGCCTCTGTCAGGAGCGGTGGTTGCTGTAGCACAGCACCTCGGGACCCATCTCAAGACCAGAGCTAAAGGATTTCTAGTTGTGAAGCGAGAGAAAAAGGTGTGGATAAAGTTCTTATTGTATTTGTCTCAAGTTAGCGGGTTTTCCAGCTAACTGAAGTACAGATGATGGGTGAGCAACCTTCCTTTGTGTTGAATAATCCCTGTACCACTGAAAGCTTACAGCAGACTTTGAATATTTTCTATCGCTTGTGACTGTTGTTTGACAGTCGCACTCACAGACAGACATTAATCTACTCTGAACTATTGTATATGTTTTTAGTGGTAGGGGAAACCGGAGCACCCTGAGGAACCCTGAGCAGATATAGGGAGAACATGCAAACCCCACATACGACCAAATCAATGACAGTTTCAAACACCACAGTATATATATCACATATATGTGTGTATGACATATTTACATGTTATGCATAAAATGTGGCTTGTTATCCATATGGCTTGTTATCCATATTTTGAGCCTGTTTGAGCAAAGAAACATCCTTTCAACACAAAGACAATTACTGTGTCGTGAGGACAGAAGAACCCTTCTGCTGCGGTGAACTTTTACCTGCAGGAATTCCAGCCATTCTTCACGACGTGAACCGGAGAACCTTGATTCTATTATTGAGCGACAACAAGAATGAAAGCTGCGACCCTTTTGCAAGAGGATAGATTCTATTTTTTTTCTGTTCGTTAAGTTGTATGCATAAATAGAGCTAAAAATGTGCCTATATAACAACATCCTAAAATATATCAAGATATAAATGATCAGCTGGACATGAATAGGAACAATCACAATCCATTTTAGAGATCCCTTCAGGCCAATAGTTCAAGTGGCCTCTATTCAGCTGAAGAGCCGCGCCCACTTGTTCCGGATGTAACAATCATTTCCCGGAGTTTCAAGAAAGTCATATATTGAGAAGATTTACAGGAGTTGGAAGGCAGCACTGATCCAACAAGAACCATCAGAACTTGTCAAAATGTGTTAATAACAATAAAAACTATGGGTCTTACGATGTTAGTTCTCATCTGATCCACACAAGCAAGTTTTCAAACGTGGATACTTACCTGGAAAATTAATAGGATTATCTCTTCCGGCACCACATGTAAACAGGCAGCTCCACTTGAGATGCCTGCAGCGCGATTATAATGATCTAGTTTCAGAGATAGGAACTTGGCCAAATACATACAGTAACTTTACATTTTTGTGAGGTGAGCTTGTAGGAAGGAAAATGAGAAGTATAGTCAAAGCGCTGCAGCATGAGTCCTGACGAGAACCAGGAAGTACAAAAACATTAGTCCAGTTTTCATGTCTCTGGACTGGCCTCCTACTGGGACTCCAAGGAGCACAGGGTCTGAGTCAGGACTAAACATGGAGAGGTAGTGAAGCTGCTACAATCTGGAAGTCTCTGTGAAAATGAGATGGGCCTCTACTCTAACAATGTTCAAGTCCACCTTAAAACAGTTCTGGCTATCTGTGTATACAACTGAAGGATTGCATCTTCTCTTTTTAAAGTACTGTGATTATTTTATGATTGTTTTGCCTTGTATGAGATTGCTTATATCTTGTGCTATCTGTGTTTTTCCCTTAAACCACTCCACAGGGTGTCCGCACGGAAACGTCTGAGCATTATGAGGATGTCCCCAGCGGAGGCAGTGAGCTGACTTCAGGAGGTCTGGAGAATGGCTTACATTTATGGGCAGCAGCCTGGATAAGCCCTGTCTGTAGCAGCAGCATGAGCACAGTTTTACACACTGTGAACTCACCGCAGCAGCTGCAGCTGAGGTCGGACAGAAGGAGCTCAACGTTGCGCGGACAAAGGACCAGGCATCTATAACAATAAAAGAACAAGGGGATTAAACAAGAGGAAACGCCCTGTACAAGAGATTTTTTTCACTTTGATACAAAAAGTACTTTTCACGCTTGAATGCCAAAAAAGAATTTTATGCACTTTCTGAGCTCTATTAAATATAGTAGGTACTGTTTTTTGGCAATGGGTTTTTCTGTTTTCTATTTAGCTTTCCATTTTGCTGTACCATTTGCTGATATAGAAAGTTTTCAATATGATAAATATAATCTATATCAGGGATGTCCAAACAAAATCAAGCCTGTGACATTTGTGGCCCTCTGCTGCTGACACAAAGTAGCCGTTGAGGGACTTTCAAAGCGTCCTCCAGCAAACTTAACCTCCACAAATACATGCTATAACCCTATTGTAAAGCTTAGAACCTTTGGAATCCAGGCGTTAATTTAATTTTTATATGCTAGATTTGAGTTTGATTGTGTCACCAAATTCCATCTAAGACAGCAGTGTATCTGTATCTGTGGTGTGAGTCAATATAGACTTATTATCATATCCCATTTCAAAGTCAAGTACTGCCCGAAACCCGTGACAAAACAATTTTACAATCAATGTTTGTCAACCCCTGGACAAGTCTGTTGAACTAAAGTGGACCTCTTACCAGGGGGTTTGGACCCCTGATATGAACAGAAACAAACCTGGAATAATCTTTCTGTTCCTGTTATTGTCAAATGTATACCTCAACCTTTCAGATTGTCTTTTCTTTTTTAAATTTCACTTGCAGTGTGTAGTTTTAGCAACAACAAAAAGATACAAATAACAAACATTTCAGAAAGTTGGAGTAGATTGACTTGAAAGGACTAACTGTTTGTTGGGTTTCTAATAAGGATTCACATATAGAACATTTATACATTTTGTATTAATGGCAAGTGCAATATTGACCTGGCAAATATGAGCAATAATTGTATATATCATGTGTTTTTCAAGCTCACACTTTTCCGTTTGCTGCGAGAGCGACAGACTCTTAGGTCAGCGGCTGGAAAACATAGGCTTGAGCAGAGATGGTCAGACACTGCTGAGACAACATGCATATTGATTTCTTTGGGGAAGGAAAATATCACAACAAATAATTGTCGCAGTCATTTACACCACTATCACATAATCACATTTTTTTCCAGTATGTTGCAACCCTAGTTTCTATAGTCGACAAAGACGGGCATGAAGCAGTGCTCAGTTTCACGGAAGTACTGCCACATATTGTAATACCATCTATGCAGCTTCATCCCCCTCTGTGTAACTGGACTTTTGTTCCAATAGTGAAACTTCATGATATATTACATACATAAAAGGTTTCGTATGGAGGCCACTACCTTGTTGTTGCCATGGATTGCTTCACAAAATTAGATAAGAGGTGTTTTTACTGACTTACTTTTTACTTTACTTACCATTTCATTTTACTTCTACAAATGAAAGTGTGTGACCACAAATATAAGCTGTAACTCCTTGTCCCTTAATGTGCTCTGGTAATTACGGTAGTTACCACTTTCCACCAAGTTGGAGATTGCACCTGAATGCCCCCTCATCTCATAAATCCCACTGGAGAACCGGGAGATCATTATGAGCTCCAAATTGCTGAGATGAAATAACCTTTGAACTCCAAAATGGTCAGACTTTTGCTGACACATGTAACAATGACCTCACCATTTTCACTTTAATTTAAACAAATGCTGTATGGGAATAAAAGGGTTGGAGGTGGTAATTCAGCAGAAACAGACTTCAAGAATAATGGCATAACTCTGGGTTAACAACATGAAGGTTTCTCACACTAGAAAAGATGCTTCAAAGTTTCTCTGATGCTCATTTGACAGTAGGTTAATCACTTTATGGTATTGCACACATGTGAGATCGGGTCGGCGGTGTCCATCATTCTTCATCGTTTATAATAATAATAATGACTATAATGCATCGCTTTTATATAGCGCTTTCTTGGCCACTCAAGGACACAACAGTAGTTTGGCACTTTGCAGCCACAGCCGCCCCACTGTGGCACCTGATGTTCCCAGAGGTTAAGTGTCTTGCTGATGACACAACGACAGCAGATATCAGTGGGAGTCAGTGGCAAAAGTCTGGTGAAGGGCATGAACCCACAACCTTCAGGCTCAAAGTCCAATGCTCTACCAACTGAGCCACTGTCAACAACATTTCACATAATAAACAAAAACAAAAGTTGTTGAATTTAGCTTCAAATGCACAAGACTCATCGGGGGCAGACAGAGAAGTGGTCTGATTTGATTACATTTTCATCATCAGTGCTCACAAGTCTGATGGAGCACGTGCGTCTGTTTGATGAGAGGACTGGAGGCCTCCGACGCAGCGCCTCCTACAGGGCGCGCAGGCGCAGTGCAGCCGCAGTATAAAAGCACTTGTGGGGTTGTCAGGGTCCAGTTTGAGAGCGTGTGGAACAGGACTCTGGTGCTTACTGGTGCGATGTGCAGCAGCAGGGACCCATATCAAACAGATTATACAGATGACTTATACAACAAGGACAGGCGCCTCCTCAGGACTTCTGTCAGCGGGATCATGGGAAGGGCGAACACGGCAACACAACTGGAACATTCTCCCTGTGTCTGTCCTATGGTAAGTTCTGCACGAAGTCAAGTGAATGATAATTCACGTCGTACCTTGACCCTTTTGTACGTAAAGTTATTTGTTTATTTATTTGTTTTTTTTAATCAGAAATCTCCGTACTTTCCTGTGCAAGTAACAGGGACTGGGTTTTGCATTGACAAATGGCGCAAACAAGTAATGAAATAGTCAAAAATAGATATAAACAAATATTACTAAAATTATATTAGATCACCGTCATTGGGTAACGTACGTGGAAAGAAAGTTGTTTTTATTTTACGCCCACTATGCTGTTAAAAATGCTTTCTTTTTATAGGTCATATAAAATCATTGCCTATACAAGCGTACTGTACATGTGGCTATTCATTTGAAATATTATTTGCCCCTATTACTATTATTATTATTGTTTGCCCCTATTTTTAACATTATTCTATGGTCCAATTTGCAACAGAGCACAATCTCTCAATGAGCCAGGTTATTTATTGTTGAAAACATAATCAATGTGATGTCTCAGTGGTGTTGTAAAGAATGTATGTCTCCGTGTATTTTCGAAGCAGATTTATTACGTATTTATCACACGTTCCCTTTTGTCCTGAGGCTGAGAGTGTAAAAGAGGAATGCAGTGGTGAATAAAGCGTGCATTATACCACACTTTAGTGGTGCTGCAAAGTGAAATCTAATACTACTCAAACATATAATCACAAGTTATTTTTTTTAACCCAATTCGAGAATAATGTTACATTAGTCGTTAATTCAACACTGAACTGAACTGAAGAAATCTGAATTTAGTTGTTTGACCGTATTTTCTGGCAGAGTGTGATGCAGTGGAACTTTAAATGTGAAATGTTCATGATGTCTTCTGTTTTTAAGGCTTAGCATTCTTTCATTAAGACAAAGAGTGTAAAGAAGCTAGTACTGCTTAATTACTCTGGTTAAAACATTAACCAGAGTCTACCTTCGACACATGTCAAGTGATTAAGCAGTACTGGATTTTTTTTATTTATTTTGTTTTTACTTTTTTTCTTATAAAAAGAACCTTCAAAAGCTTAGAGGAAATATTATTGGGACAATCAGGAGAATTATAAGGTGAGATATAGCCTGAATTTAAGATATTTGTGTTCCCTTGTGAATGAAAGGCCCTCTACAAATAAAGATTGATTGATTGATATTTAAACGTAATATATTGCAGTGTATGATATTCCCCTGACAATGTAGTAACTAAATATAATGCATTTTATTTGCCTATTAATTATAATAAGACCTGTTATTTGACATTTCATGGTTTAGAATGTGAAGTACTGTCTCATAAGTAGAAAATATATCTGGCAAAACTTGTATCAAGGATTTTTAAGAAGATTTTTTTTCCTTTAGCTCCCATCTGTGGGAGGAGTTTATTTTAAATTGGCTAATAGTTTCACATTCGAAAGTTATCGGCTGCAAACACTGCCATGCAATTGTATAGAACGTCACTTCACACGAGAAATGAGAAATCAAACTTATCTAGGGATAAAACTTTTTTTTATTAAAAGAAAGAAAACATTATTCATTGATTTATTAACAGGTATGGACATTAGTCATCTGTTTGATTCTCTGATCTGTTGTTGGTGAATCGACCACTTTGTAAAGTCCTCCGAGACGACTGCTGTTGTGATTTAGGGCTATACAAAAACATATTGATTTGAAAAAGAAAAAGAAGAAGGATTCCTTTAGGCAACTGGGGCCGATTTAGACGTTTGTGCCAGAAGACTCTGATAATAGCGTGGGTGGATCTAAAAACAAATCCAGGTCTGTTTTGGAAATATGTTGTTACATGAATAAAACCATACCTCGATGTAGTAGCCGTGTTTGAAGTGAAATAATAATGCCATGAGGCCTCTTTGAGTGTCCAAAAAAGGCACTGTATAAACTGATGCATTATTCATTATCAAAAGCACTTAAAACATAACTTTGCATTTGCATAATACCTCTCCTTTAAGTAAAGCACTGATTTTTCACTGCAGCAGGAATGTTCCCTGCTGCTGTCAATAGTCAGTGTCAAGACTTGTTCAGACGAATAAACATGCTGCATTCAAGTTCTTTTCCTTCTGTGATGTTGCACTCGGCCTCTGCAGCTGTTACTTTGCTCAAAAGTGTTATTTATTGCCGTCAGAAGAACGTGCACTTTAGATCAGCCTAATGAATGTAGTTCCTAATGCCTTATAAACAAATGGGACTGATGTGGCCGTAGCTGTTCTGGATCCTTAAATCAAGATTAGTGCATTCTGAAAGGACAAGCCGACTCAGATGTGCGTCTTTATCCGCTTCTCGTCAATCAGTTTTTTTGGAAAGCAAGAAAGTCCATGTTTGTGTTGAGCTCTTTATTTCTTATTTACACAAAGTTTTTAGTTAATATAATCATTATTCTGAAATTTCAAGATGTTCGTCACAAACCTGATCATCAAACCCATCTACAACAGGGCTAAAACAATTTATCAAATCAAAAATAATAAGTAAATAGATACTCTATTTGTCCCACAGTAGTGCGGAGATATATACTGTACATTTAGGGCAGGATAATAAGTAGATAAAGTAAAGTGACATTCTTCAGTGACATTCTGAAGTTGCAGTATTGCACATTGCACATGATTTTAGTATTTACTTATATAAAGATGAATGACAGTTACAGGTTCAGCAGTTCTCATTGTACAGTCTGACAGCAGTAGGAAGGAAAGACCTACAGAATCTCTCTTTTACCCAGCGAGGGTGAATTAGTCTGTCACTGAAACTGCTCTCCAGTTTCAGTAATTTAATTGTGTTGATTAATGGGTTAATTTCTATAATGACTTAACATCGCTGTGAACCTTTGGACCTTTGCTTTGCACAGAGCTGTTTCCGTGTGGCAACGTTTGATTTACTTTATTTACATTTACTGTATTTTTATTTTAACCCCTGACCCTTTTCTATGAATCATACGTTTGTCTAAAATGTGTGCTTAATATGTGCTGAAGGTTGTTGTGTGGCAAGGTTTCGGGTTATTACAAAAACAATGTATAGCTGCAGCAATAATCTACAGAATGTGCACATTCCATGGTGATGGTTTAGAGTTACCAAAATATTAAACATGACTTCAGAGTGATTCAATAATTAAACAAACTCATCTCAATGGAGAATAGTGCACATCACTGCTCTCTGATAAAGTTACCAAAATACAGTACTGTTGCTTTCCATCTCTGGTATGTTTTCATGTCAGAGATGTGTGACTTCCTTACATATCTCTAATGAGGATGTGTGCAACAGATTACATCAGTCCAGAGTTACCAACAACAGTGGACAAACAGAAGTTCCTCTGATTTTAGATTGAGAGCATAGGCTGCATGTGTCTTTATCTTTTCTTTTTATCTTTTCTTACGCAAGAGCCATGCAGTATGTAGCCTGCGCTGTTTACAATTGGTAGGATGATGGCCCTCATTCATCCAGGACTGGTCCACCACACAACTTTAATACTAAACCTCCTCCAGTGCAATGTTACTGTTCTTATTACATTTTTTTGTGGCACTTGCATGTGAAAGCCTGGTCCTGTCAGATTTCAGGTTAGTGCTGTGATGGTAGACCTTTGGAAACATCAGGTGCCACAGTGGCCGATGTAATGTACCAAATGTTGTCATTGTGCGTCAGGGGCAGCTGTGGCTTCAGCAGTAGTTTATCACCTCTGTGTACCGAGTGAGCATATCTGGAGGCTCTGATCTTTAAGTTCATGCAGTTTCAACATAAAAATCTCACATAAGTTTCCTTAACTATCCTTGTGGCGGACGCATTTTTCGCTTGGATTCATATAAATGTTGTTTTTTTGTCTGAACAATACAGTTTGTAGTCAGTCATTAAACTTTCCTTTTACATTGGAACCTCAGTGGTGTCCATCATTCTCCTCTGCATAGAGTGTGACGTCACTCTATGCAGAGGCAAGTCTTCTCACTCAGAATTCTGTTTTTTAAAGCAGTAAAATCATTCATAACTCAAGAATGTACATATTTTAAAGCAAACTGAGCAACATGTCAAGCAAAGCAATAACATACCCGTAACGAGAAGCCGGTATCAGACCACATCACCAAGAGCGGGTCCCCATCTTCAAAAGCATTCTTTATGTTTTATGTTTCATTACACACCGTTAGAGAGACTTAGATGACTGGTATAGGTAAAGCCGCAGGGAAATATTCATTACATTAAAAAACAAGTAATTCCTGAGTGTAATTTATGATGTCTGAACTTCCATCTTTTGCAGCCCTCTCTCCGGTGGAGATCCCAGATGAACCTCAAAGCTCAGCGGTGATGTTGGCCATGCAGCATCCCAACTCCTCCGGCTCCACAGCCACCTACACCTGCTGCGCCCTGGTCGCTAACTTCACCGTGCTGCAGGAGCCTGAGGTGGAGGCCGTGGCGAGGAACGGGACTTTACCACAGACAGGCAGTCCGTTTGTGGCTGGTCTTAGTATGACTCTGGGCATCCTGTTCAACGTGGTGGCTTTGATCATCCTGGCCAAGGCCTACAACCGCTTCCGCCGGCGCTCCAAGGCTACGTTCTTGCTCTTCGCCAGCTCTTTGGTTGCAACGGATCTGGCGGGACATGTTATCAACGGAGCATTGGTGATGAGGAGATACTCTGCCGGTTCTATGACAGATTCGACCAACGAGACGGACGCCGCCTGCTTGTTTCTTGGAGGCAGCATGGTGTTTTTCGGCCTCTGCCCACTTTTTATGGGTTGTGCCATGGCTGCTGAACGGTGTGTGGGTGTGACCAAACCATTGTTACACGCACAGTTAGTAACAACAGCGAGGACTAAGATCGCACTGGCGCTGATCTGGTTGGTGGCATTGTGCGTGGCCCTCCTGCCCGTCTTCAACCTGGGGACCTACACGTACCAATATCCGGGGACATGGTGCTTCATTAGGGTCTCAGAGGGCACAGAGGGGAAGGACCTTGCGTTTGTGATGCTGTTTTCAGGATTAGCTTTGAGTTCCTTGGCCTCAGCATTTGTTTGCAATACAATCAGTGGAATTACCTTAGTGAGGGCCAGGCTGAGGAAGACCACCTGCTCCAAAAGCCGCTCCACCAGTTCCAATGACACAGAGATGGTGGTACAGCTTGTGGGCATCATGGTTACGTCTTGTATCTGTTGGAGCCCTCTGCTGGTGAGTTAATCAAAAAACGCATGACCTAACAATATACCCACTTCCCTTTACAGTGAAAGGCACAAAAAAGGACATTATCATTGACATTTATGTTGGTTTTCCTGCTTAACCCTTTGATGATTCCCTCAACCATTTTGTAGATCACCTTTTGACTCACTATACCTACTTGAAAAGCTTGATTGGAACTGAAATATATCGCTTTGGGGCATCTCATGGTTTTAGGCACTTTTACCGTCAAACTGCATCTCAACCATTTGGTAAAGGCCTATATTAAGACAAAAGTACAGGTTGAAAAAAATAATGCATAAAAAAACTAATTATTATTATTAGTGCCTCTACATCTTAGAAAATCCCCCCCCAAAAATTACATTCCTTTCTTCAAGGAGTGAACATTATAAGGTGCATGTGTATAATCAATATGTGTGTGTGTGTGTGTGTGTGTGTATGTGTGTGTTTAATCATTTTCGAGCTGAGGTCTTTGCAGCTGCATGAATGATTGTGTCCTACTTTCAGAAACCTTCATTCAACCTGACACATTCTGACGCATGCCACAATGAATGACACTGTAATGACTCTTCCTCTCCCTGCGTCAGGTCTTTGGGCTCATGTCCGCACTGCGCTCCTACAATGGCTCCTTGGACACTGACAGAGCCACATACAGGAGGCTGATGATCACAGGGGTCCGAATGGCAGCCTGCAACCAGATCCTGGACCCCTGGGTGTATATCCTGCTCAGACGGGCCATCCTCCGCAGAATCTACCGCATTACCAAGCGCCAGGCCAGTCTGAAGGGGAGCGTGTTTCGTTCAGCCCGATGGGAAGCCAGCTCCTTCCACATCACAGAGAAAAATGGCAGTAACAAGACATAACAGTGATCATCATGTTATATAAATGTAGCACTTTGTGGATAAGCACGAAATGGTAGAAGCATGTCGACTACAAACAACTAAAGAAAATTCAAAAGAAAACTATAAGCTATCTGAGATACCAAGCTATTGCAGCAACACAGCCACATTTAAACTTTTCTCATGCCAGTAATTTACTTTGGGATATATGCACTAAAATTCAAAGGTCTTGGAGGTCATAGAGAAAAATATACACAAGGATCAAACGGTGAAAAACTATTTCAGCTAATTAGATATGAAGATTTAGTTGGAAATCTCTCATTTAAAAACAAGACTTAAGTAAATGTATGCAATGTAGTATTTGTTGTTTTTACCTCAGCTGTGATCAGCTCATTTGTGAATTGTACATAGTGTGTTGGATTGTGTGCATGTGTGGAGTGTGTGAGAGCTGCATTTGAGTGTTTCTATTGAAGTCTGTAAAAATCAAAGCTCACTGATTGTAAAGTTCAATAAAAAAACTGTGCAACATTTGTTTTCTCTGAATTCGGTTTTTTTCCTTTTATCATAAAAACACAGGCACAGATAAAGTCTTTGATTATGTATCATGTATCAGTTTCATTGAGTAAGACACTATTATTATGATTGTGATGATGATTATTTTTATTATTAAGTTAATTATGTACATAGGAATTGAGTCTATCAGTTTTTCCACTTCCTACTGCATTTCAAGCTGATCATTTTGTAAATTAAGCTATAGATTAAATGATAAATACAAACGTATTAAACTAGTTCTCCTCAAATTAATGAATAAAATTAAAAAAGAAATTAAAAAAACGTTACTCCACAAATGCAATTAAAACAAGAAAGAATTAAGACTTCAAATGGCATGTATGCATGATGAATATATTACATTACATTGCTGTATTATTAGACAATTAGCCCCAGTTCATAAGATTTGGCGATTAGACTCTGGCAGAAGGGAACTCCCTGGGGCCTAAACCTTGGTGGCGAAGGAAGCTGACCTGACAACATGACTGATTTGGCATTGACGAGGAGGAGGGGTGTTGCTGCCATGAACAGCAGCTTGATTCTGCAGGACTGAGAGCCTCTGTTTACATGATAGACACAAGTGTGTGACTGCAGCTGATTGTTGATGAGCTCATGTGCATGTGTAGCAGAGAGAGGACTCAGTACGACAGGACGACATGTCTCCAAATCTTCCAGTCAGAATTTACTCTCCAGCTGCATTATTGTTTCCCCTAAGTTATTTGTTTGAAGGCAAGGCAAGTTTATATGTATATAGCACTGTTCTTACACAACTCGCAGTTGGCTTGTTTATGGGTGATGAGGGTAATGCATAGAAGGCAGTGTTTTTGTGTTTTTGCTCAAAGTTATATGTTGGGATTTCAGTTATAAAATGTATGATTAAAAGTCGAACTTAATTGTTTCATCAAATCTAATTATTTTGTTTTCAAATATTGTATTTTGAGGGTCATTCAAAACATACGATAAAATGGTCTGAGGAGGCAACGTGACAACAGTGACATACAGTGGTTGAAATGGGTGGTTGAAGTGCGGCATGTACTTGTGTACGTTGGATGTATTTTATTTGTGTACAACACAAAGGGTTATTTTTGTTTATATTTATTTCTGTAACCAGAAACAGGAACAGCTTATTTAATTTTCAAATTGAGACTCGATTTAGCTACTTTCACATTTTCACGGATGCAAAGGAAAAAACAGAAACTGTAAATAATAGTTTACTATAATTGTATTATAGATACCATGCTATACACAAAACAATTCGTTTGTTAAGTTATTTTCTATATTCAATTGATTATTGCAAAACACTTTTTTACACTACTTTTTAACCATCGACTGTTTATCGTCCATATACACAAGTTGCTGTTGTATTGTAATTCTCATACCTGTAATCGTTAAGGCATAATTGTCCAGGCAATATTTTGTGTGTGCAAGTTGAACAATAAAAAAGTATAATAAAAAAAAAAATATATAATAAAAATAATTATAATGTGGGATTTTTGTACCCCGTGACTGTGTGGACCAATGAGCATCCTTCCTTTCTGATGAGGGCGTGGTCACGGGGCGCAGACGCTGCGGACTCAACTAGCAGCGGGGCTAACTGCAACCTGTTAGCATCAACACCGTGCATCTGCTCCGTTCCAACATCACGGTAAGATTCATTAGACCGTGCCCATTCTGCAGACTTGCTCGGCAGTTCTGAAAACTCATGAAAGTTAGATGTCTTTAATGTGTTTGTATTTCGTAAAGTAACCTAACATGCTAACGGCGGCTAACATAAGCGTTTATTGATTGCTGAATGTGGTCTTTGTGAGGGGCCTTTTTACTGGTTGCTGTACCATTGATGACTACACCAGGCGTGACATGATACAATACATTTCCCTTCACACCTGTGTAACATTATCTTCTCTGGGATCACGAGTCGACAGCAGAATCGCCCATTGTGTCTGTAGTGGGGGGGTAGGCTGCGGTCGTCGCCATGATTTAGAGAGTTAAAATGGCGCCTCAATCTAATTCCTTTTAGTAGCTGTTGGAAGTCTTTAATCAAAACATTGATTTGGAATTCCAAGAGCCATCGACTGTGCAAACGACAGGTTTGCATGTGTGCATTGCTTGGTGGGTCACCAAACAAATCTCTTCATAGAAAGTGAATTTATTCTTCTTGCATTTTCTATACATACTTCATTAACTATTTTGTTGGTCTTGTCCATTTTCTATATTGTCACTATATTTCAATCATCTTTCCGAGGAGTATTTGAAGACCGTGTGGATATGGCTTTCAGCTTAATGCAAATTTATGTCGAATTCTTGCTTTATTACTTTTACTCTATGGACCACACCGGAACTGTCTTAAATGGTTCCGAAAGCTCCTCCAAACTTTACTGACATGTACTAGAAAGGGAACACACCACCATCATCATCTGTCATATATATAGTTGATTGCAAGATTGATCACTTTATGAAATGTTCGAACAGCTTTGCCCCTGTGTAATTGACTATCCGTTCATGGGTTGCCACGCCCCCAGCCAGGTCAGTGACGTCAGAAAAACTTGCTCAGGTCACAATGAAAACAAGAGGATGAGCTCTTTGCTGGAGCTGCCCCCCAAGAAAGTGCTCCACCTTTTGTCTGATTTGATCATTATTAGTCTCTTGTATACGGTTTATTTTTTAACCCTTTTTTTGTGTGTTGGCAGCTGATGTTGGCATGTAATTTTGGTAGATGGGGCCACTTTATTGATTTGATGCAATTTATTTTCTTGTCCCTTGTAGTAACTGATTAACATTACCTTCAACTACAGAAACACCACCACCAACCAAGGAGATGAAAATGGTAATTGTTTTTTGATTTATTTTTACCCTATTGTAATTATTCTATTGTACAAAGGGGACGCTAGTTAACTCAGAGCTGTTCGTAGTTTACAGGAAAAAAACGAAAAATGCTTTAGATTAGATTGACATGACCGGCTCGGCCTCTTGTCTCACTTAAACATGGTTGACATAGATTTAAGATTTTTGCCTTTCTTCTACTCTATTAAATGCACCGCTCCATGCTCCCCTCAGCCGCCCCCAATGCGTCACCGCTCCATGAGAGTCTTCATGAATGACGACCGCCATGTGATGGCCAAACACTCAGCCATCTACCCCACTCAAGAGGAACTGGAGGGGGTCCAGAACATGATCTCTCACACAGAACGGAGCCTCAAAGCAGTGTCCGACTGGCTGGACAAAGAGGAGAAATGTTCAACTGATGGAACAGAACCTGAGAAAGAAAGGTATATTGTAGTGGCTGCTTAATGCAGAATAAATTTTTTCATATGACTTCTAACTGTGCTGTTGTCTACAGTGACCCCAAAGAACAGATGTCTCGCTCTCTGCGAGGCGTCATGCGGGTGGGGCTGGTGGCAAAAGGGTTGCTTCTTAAGGGAGACCTCGACCTGGAGCTCGTGCTGCTTTGTAAAGAAAAACCCACTACATCTCTGCTAAAAAAAGTTTCTGATAATCTTGTTAATCAACTGAAGGTAACACTTCTTTAATGGTGACAATGATAAGACATACCTTGACTTTACTCATTTTCTAGCTGATTACAGAAGATAAGTATGTGGTGAGCCCTCAGATCCACGAGGCCAGTATTGTGATTAAGAACACAAAGGATCTGCCCCTGACCCTCACCATTCACCTGACCTCTCCGGTGGTGCGTGAGGAGATGGAGCGAGCTGTCGCAGGAGGTAAGACCCTACATCAGGGCCTCTGTGTTTAAAGGAAGGCATCAGGCTACACAACTATTGTTTATTGGGCCTTCAATGGAGCTGGAGGACCACAATGCACCTACATAATGAAAATGCTATATTTATAGCTCACTTGACTCTCATAGTTCCATGTAATGTAATTGTACATTTTTGATGGCCCAATATACAGTACAGGGCAGGTAGTTTACTGATTCAAGACATCTGTCGTCTTCCTAAATGATCAAGATGAAGAACTATTGAAGGCTTACTGAGAATTTAACAAAACACAGAGACCACTTTGTTTGCATGTGTTTTATTATTGTTGATGAAGGGTTTGCATTGCAGCAAAAATGAAAAGCCACACACAATTGCCCTTATCAAACCCAGCAATGGGCTATTGACAGTATAAGCAATGTTTTGGTTACAGATAACAACAAGACAAATCTGAACTTGTCTACCAAACAGGCTCAAGTGAAAAGGTTACAGTGATCTGTTAATTGATCTAATGGAGCAGGAGTTGCACTTAAAGCTCACTGCAGAACCTTGATCTTATCTGTAGCCTCGAGCACACCCATTTTGGGCCTAAAGCCTCAGTTTTGCTGCAGTGTGGACCTTTTTTTAAATACCAACTTTTATGCATCTGATATTTTTTGACTGTGGTTCAAATTCTGATTCTCTCTGTCAAGCCTTCTAGTTTGTCAATTTTTAGGGACGCTGGACCTTTGACCAACTGGCCGCTCTCTGTCTCGGAAGGGGCAAAGTGCAGCACTGCCTCATGGTGTGAAGGGGAGGGCGGACCCTGTGCAGACAGCATCACGGCTCATTACTGTAACCGTGGTTAACACTGTTGAAAATACTTATTTATTTATCAATTCAATAAATATTTAAACATTGGTTTATGTTTTTAGGGATTTTAATTTTTTTAGAATATAGAATACAAGTGATCCAAACGGCTCATGGTTAATGGATAGCTTTAGGACATAGGTGCGTCTGACCAAAAGAATTGGGGTGCATTCACAATACATGTTTTATTCAAATTAGGAATAATTTGCTGTACAGCACAACTCTTCTTGGGTGGTGTGCAAGAAGAGTTGTGCTATAACTTACTGTCTTTTGATTTGGGTCTCAATCATTGAACCATTGCTGATGCTGTTTTTTTTTTTATCCCTATTCATTGGAAATCAGAGGCAAGCGAGCCTCATGTCTGATCTGGCCGCCTGCTCACTTTTGCGGCGCCCATTTGTGGTCTGTTCTGCCACAACACTTATTTTACTCATGATTCAGCTCACGCTGCGATTTGTGAGCTGTAGACTGCTCAGAGTGCAAGCGGACAACAACAATCCAGTCCTTATTCAGACCTGGTTTTGATTTTGGATAAAGTTTTTCATCTTCCTGCCGATGTCAGTGGATCTGCTCTGTCCGATTGCTGTCAGTGGAGCTGCTCTGTCCGATTGCTGCACACTTTAGAATTGTTCAGCTCTGGCCATGCTTCCCAGAGCTGCAGCTTAGATTTGACCCTGTACAATAGAAATGTTATGTGCCCAAATGGCACAATGTCCCTAATCAGACTGAATGTGATTCTGTTTGTATTGTGAATGTGCCCTTAGTTTGTGCTTTATGGTTTTTGAGAGCCATTTGGTTGAAACATGAACTTAGAAGACCATTGTCCATTTCAATGTCTTGACAAAGCCTATAATTGTGGCTGATTATTGCTGTCCAATAGAGGGTCCCCCTCCCCTTCCACATTCTGCTGCCTGTGACCCCCTGGCCGTCTGACAGAACTTCCCTTGGTCAAACTGTACCTTGTCTTCTTATTCCACCTGCCAATAGAAACGCTTTCAGTCAACGATCCTCCGGATGTTCTGGACAGGCACAAATGCCTGGCTGCCTTGGCTTCTCTTCGCCACGCTAAGTGGTTCCAGGTTTGGATCTTGTCTTTATTTGTCTCTAAAACAGAAGTAGTTTTCACTTTGGTTTTATGCTCTGTGTTTTTTATTTGAGCCTTTTTTTGTGTTTCCTCATTTGAGTTTTGGAAACGTTTCTGCAGCAACACTTTTTCTTTAGAAACTTTTTTTGTTCTTATTCTATACTCTTACATTTATTAAAGTGGTACCAGGGTACCTTTTTGAAAGAATTCTTGTAAAACATGGTTCATTTCCAAATGTTCTAATATCATGGTGCAATATTTCTTAACTTTCAGTTTTGGTGTGATTGAGTTGTTTAGCTAACGTTTACACAAGCTAATAGCCGAAGCACTGCCTTTGTAAAGTGGGAAACTCTACACTGTGGCCTTTGTCATTGTTGGCTTTTCATTGTAACAATCTGATCCATCTCTGCAACTACAGTTACACACTTTTTGTTTTTTTCCTCTTCCTGTCTGTGTTTGTGTGCTGTTATATTTAGAGGAATATTGCACCTTGAAACAATGTAGTTTTAGTGATTGTCTTACTGTTATTGTTTAGGAAATTGAAATGGAAAAAAATCCTCAATTCCAAACCATTGTCTTTGTGCCCTGCTGTATAAAACTTAAAAATACTACAAAATTGTATTTTGACCATATCCCTCTTACCTTCTTGTACATTTCATACTGACTAAGCTAACCTGTAGTCTGTGTGGCTTCATGTTTTGATTTAATCACTTGCAGTGTATGCTTCAGTCAATGAAGGCTGGTATTTTCTTCTAAGTCTGAATGTCCTCCCTTTGCCCCTCCCCCCCATGTGTCCATAGGCACGGGCCAATGGGCTTCGCTCGTGTGTCATCGTCATCCGTATCCTGAGGGACCTGTGTTCCCGCGTCCCCACGTGGGCTCCTCTGCGTGGATGGGTGAGCAAGATTTGCTTGCTCTCTAGTTTCTTAGTCCTCACACACAGTGACACTGTTGTGGCTCGGTGCTTTTGCTCCATTTCACTTGACCAAAGCCTGCAGATAACCAGTTAGAGCCAGCATGATGGAAGCCTAATCTTTCTTCTCCACAGCCACTGGAGTTGATTTGCGAGAAAGCCATTGGCACTGGGAACCGGCCGATGGGTGCAGGTGAAGCGCTACGCAGAGTTCTGGAGTGCCTCGCCTCAGGAATCCTTATGGCAGGTAGGCATTTTATAAATGTTTTTTAATCAAATGCATATATATAGGTTAGGTTTGATAAAGGTTATTTTTTTTCTCAAGATTGTGCTGGAATCTCCGATCCATGCGAGAAGGAGCCGACTGATGCCATTGCTCACTTGGACCATCAGCAGAGAGAAGACATCACACAGAGTGCTCAAGTGAGTGAACGTTTCTTTTCACATGCAGCAATGTCATTTGTTTTTCAATCAATACTTGCATTTTTAACTAGTGCTGTCAGTTAAGTGCACTGTTAAACACGTGAAGCAAACCAGTTTTAATGGCGTTAATATTTTTAAAGCAACTCCAGATGTAGCAAGCACAGAAACTAGAAAGTTCACAGATGAGTTTATGCCAAAGAGTATTAATACATTTTGGACGGTGCGTGTGTTGTGTATGCTCCAGGCTTCTACAACGGGCACGTATCTGACATCGGCCCTGCTCGTCCATCGTTATCACAATATCTTGAGGTCAAAGCCTAAATCAAGGGACATTTACAATAGATACAAATGTGCAATTAACTGACATAAAAAATTACATATTTTAAGTTTGGCAGCAGTTTTTTTCACATTTAAAACCTTTTTTCCCAGCATGCCTTAAGGTTGTCTGCTTTCGGACAGCTGCACAAAGTGCTTGGGATGGACCCTCTCCCCTCTAAAATGCCTAAGAAACCACGAACGGACACTCCTATAGATTACACTGGTAACTTAATTGATTAGACTTCACTTGTGTTAATCTTTGTTCATTTGTAATGTGTAGCAAATGTGTTTCAGTTCAAATCCCACCCAGTCATATTGATACCCACCAATACACTCCTCCAATGAAAAGGCCCATAGAGGAAGAAGATGGAACTGATGACAAAAGCCCAAATAAAAAGAAGAAGAAACTTCAAAAGAAATGTATGAAGTTCACCTTGCCAATGGGATGCATCTTCTTTTCTTCCTATTTGTCTTAATGTTTTTGTTTCCCTTTCAGCCCCTGAGGAAAAGACTGAGCCCCCTCAGGCCATGAATGCTCTAATGAGGCTGAACCAGCTGAAGCCGGGCCTGTTGTACAAACTGGTGTCTCAGACTGGGCCAGTGCATGTTCCCGTCTTCACTATGGCCGTGGAGGTAGAGGGTCAGACCTTTGAGGCTTCCGGACCGTCCAAACGTACTGCCAAGCTCCATGTAGCTGTCAAGGTATTTATTACCCACCACTCTGTCTACTTTTCCTTGATTAACTTGTGTGCAATGCAATAGTTTTAAAACAAATTTTTGTGTGGATTTTTGTAGGTCCTACAGGATATGGGCCTTCCCACTGGTGTGGATCTGAAGACTGCTGAGCAGGTGAAATCTGAAGAGAATGAAGTCTCTGTAGATGATGTGAAGCCTGAGTTACACTCCATAGAAACTTCAGCAGGCACAGGAGCCGCCAACACAGAATCAACTGATGCTGCAGAGGTGTTTTTATTGCTTCAAATAACATGTATTTAAACTTTTATATTAAATTAACTTTCATATTTTCCCATATTTCAGGCTGCACGCCAACAGGGACCAATTTTGACCAAACACGGGAAGAATCCAGTGATGGAGCTGAACGAGAAGCGGCGTGGCCTGAAGTACGAGCTAATCTCTGAGACTGGAGGCAGCCATGACAAACGCTTTGTTATGGAGGTGGAGATCGATGGGCAGAAGTTCCAGGGAACGGGCTCCAACAAGAAGGTGGCAAAGGCTTACGCTGCCCTAGCCGCTCTGGAGCAGCTCTTTCCTGAGGGATCCTTTGTCGACGCTACGAAAAAGAAAAAGGGGCCTCCCATGGTAAGAGTAGCTCTGTCTGACTTTAGGGGATAATAAGCAGATGTGTTTTATATTTCTGTTCATGTTCAGCACACAGGCTTTGGCATGATGGGAGCAGATGGTGTCATGCCCAGAGGAAGAGGAAGGGGTCGTGGAAGAGGACGCGGGTTCAACAATGGAGGAGGCTATGGACAAGGAGGTACGGTTTGACAACAGAAAACTTTTACAGTGTACAAAATTCATGAGTGCCTAAATCTGGATGCTCCCTCCATTTAGGTGGCTTCGGAAGCTACGGTTACGGGAACAATTCTACCCCTGGATACAGTAAGTCTTAGTTTTTTCATTTATCAAGTGTTTAGATTTACCTACAGCTAACCAAATGATACAATGATAGATTTTGAAGCAACTGTACTTTGACACCAGTACTAGAGGGAACATCTTCAGTCATTTTACATTTCTCTGCGTCTCTGCTGAGCCACAGGTCTCTTTTCTACTTTTTGAGAACCACATCACAGCCTGTTCTGACGCCTGACCTACTTGAGTGTGACAGCAGCAGAGAAATCTAAAAAAAAAAATAAAAAAACCCTCTCAGAACATCTAATTTGAACCTCTGCCATGAAGTGGCACAAACTACATCCAGCTCCCACTAAGCTAATGGTGACATTTTCCCTTCTCTGCCCTGTCTCACTCTTTAGGTGACTTTGTCTCAGACTGTGAGGGGTTCCACGAGTTTGCAAAATAGAGCTTCCAATCTTAGACAATTTCAAAGCAATTTTACAAGAGAAAAACTTAAACTCCTGACGTCCTCCTTGAAGTCATTACCCTTGGAACAGTGACCATCTGCCAGTCCACCTCACCATTCACGTGCTCGGACACTACAAGAGGAAGTGCATGTTATGTGACCTCACACAGGGCTCGTCTTCTGTCCTTGTTTGGCCTGGACGGGACATTTTAATGTATTGTCTGAATGAAAGTAATGGCCACAACCTCTACACTGTTAGTTACTGTGTCTATTTCTGTGTTTTTATTTTTAAAACTACTATTTTTATATGAATTTAGACAAAAAATTGAGGTGTACACCAGAAAAGAGGAAAATACCTTTTTAACATTCTGTTTTGTATTTTTTAAAGAAGCCCTGTGTTTAGTATTACTTGTGTAGTTTAGGGTGGTTTTACCAATGAAGAAAGTATAAGTCATGACCTGGGAGCCATCTGTAAGTGTAACTGTGTAGCATGTATGCTCCGATTCATTAATGCTCAACACTGATCCAACGTTCATTAAGTGAGCGCCACAGAACAGTGCTGTTCAAGTCAAAACCATTTCCTCTTTCGCCGCTTAGTTAATCAGAATATTACAGGAATGACTATGTAACTAAGTGGTTTTGTGTTTTTTATATAATAAATGCTTTTATTACGATTTCTTACTTCTATGTCTACATTAATTTAAAGAAAATGTGCATGGAGCTTTTGCTTTTACCGGTATTTTAAAATGACCAGTGTCGAGCCTACATTAGAACTGCTCCAGCTCTGATAAGCTCCTTAAAGAAGCTGAAACAGACTTCCCAAATGACAGTTCAACATTTCTCATTGGAAATTTAACTTGAGAAATGTAATTGCCATCATGGCTATTGTTTTTTTAAGTCATTGTCACATATGGATACAAGTTGTCAATTAAAAACAAAATCTTTTGTTTCCTTGTATACAAACAAATATGATGCATGGTTTGTTTACACCATTAGAGACCACTGTTCATTATTTTAAAGACTGAATCCAAATGAAAAATGCTAAAACACTTTTAGCAACTGTATGATTTTGTCAGTTTAAAATGATCACATTTTGCATAGTTTGTTTATATTATATTGTTTTAATAATTACACACATATACATGGCTTTGAAATTGAGTTATACCCATAGTATTTTTTTTTTTTTTATCACTAAATACCAGTGGTTATATATTCTATATAAGTGATGCCACTAGAGTTGAAACAATTAGTATTTTCCGTTGTAAATTAAATACCAGTAATGTCCAGTTATAGCCGCTTTTTACAGTTAATACACTTTAATAATGCAGTTCATGACATGTTATCCAAAATACTGCATTTATTTTCCTTTTGATTCTGCGTTTTAAGTTGTCTCCCCCTTCTGCTCAGATTACTACAACAATGGCGGTACAAATGGAGGGAATGGCTCTATGAGCAGTCCCTCAAGTGGACCAGCTCCCAGCACCTCTCCTGCCTCTGCTCCGAGCTCCTACAGCTCTTACTACTCTCAGGGAAGCTACACTGCCCCCGCTGCTAACAAGATGCCACCAAAAAAGAAGCCTCCAATGCACAAAAGTGGAAAGGCTCCCTATCAGAGCGCCAACACCAGCAGTGGCCCCTCACTGGGATACCAGTCCAATACTGCCTCTGGTCAGACCTATAGCCAGTACAGCCAGGGCTACGGGCTGGGAAAGAAGAACTTCAACCAGAGTCAAGGAAGCACAGGTGGATACTCGTACAGCACTGCTTATCCAAGTCAAGTGACGGGAGGCACTGGGAGCAGCCAGGACTACACTTATGAAGGTTAGAACAACAAATGCCAATATATTGTGTCCATATTTTACAGTTCTATTCCAGTTGGAGGGATACCAGTACTGCTCTATGGGAAAGAAATTTTCCAGTATAGGTCCAAATGCTTATGCTGTATTTGATTGTGATTAGATTCTTGTCTTTTGAATATTGTCACCACTTCTTGACACTTTTTATGATAAAATAATTTGACCGTTGTTTATCTGGTGATAAAGAAGGTGTGGAACTTTGACAGTTTTTGTTTCCTCCGGATTGGCCCAGGAAGGAGCTATACAAAAATATGAGTAGTCTGACATTTGACAGTTACCATCATTACCAGGAAAGCTTGAAAGCAGGAAAGCAACCACAATTTAAATTGGTATAGAATGTTGTGATCTAGCTACTGGATTTCTAATCACAATCAATTTTTTATTTTATTTGACTTGAATATGCTATACAGATGATCAGATTATGTGTGGTATTCTGACATATAATGCTAAGATGTTGTGCATTCATTAATTACAATTCTCCTGATGTATAGTTCTGAGTTTTCTAACCATGTATTTTTCCTACACAGGCTTCAACAATCAGTCCAGTTACAACTCTCAAGGAGGAGGTGGGGGGAGCAACCAGAGCTTCAACAGTCACTCCCAGTACCATAACCAGTCAAGCTACGGTCGCGGAGAGAGCAACATGAACTATCAGTACAGATAGACTGTCCCTGCACTCGAGCTGCATTAGTGTCTCTCCTAGATAAATGATCATCAGCTTGCCTGTGTGCTCTGCCTTTTTCCATGTCTGCTTCTTGTGCTTGGAGTTATAAATGTAGCACACATGGGCACACAAGCAGTTTTCTGGACTTTCAGTCTGAGTAGAGTTGTGGTTGAATGTGGTGACCTGTTTTTGTGATCTGGTCAGTGTTTAATGCAGTTATTTTATTCGTATTTTTATTTTTTCACTGAATTAAGTCCTGTATTGGCTGGTTTTACTAGCTGACTCAGACCATGTCCTTAGAAAGTTACTTGTTGGAAAATGTTGAACATGTATCGTGTGTTATTTTTTTATAATCAATAGAAAACGATGTTCATTGATATTAATTTTTGTAACTGTCTTTTAGTTATTTTTTAGAATTAAGTATGCAGATAAATGGATAACTGTTGCTCAGTAGCTGTGGACTGGGTAGGCTGTTTCTCTTCTGTAACAGTGTGACTGTTAATAAAACCTTTTTGTTTTGTTATTTTGACTTTTACATTTGCAACGTAATGAAAAAGAAAAAAAACCAAGGAAGGAGATGAGTCGTATGACCAGTACTCCTCTATTCCCATTTTTCTTATTGTTCGAGTTGACACCAAGACGACCCTTTCATTGGGAATACCCTGGGCAACTGACAAACTGACCCACCAGTGCATTCTGGGTCTTCTCCCAGGTCTTCAAGTGGGACATGACCAGAGCACTTCCCAAGAGACTGCTGTATGAAGTACATACAACAGATGCCTGAGGTACCTTAGCTCATTCTTCTATGTGGAGGAGTAACAGCTCTACTCCAAGCTCCTCTTGTGTGACTGAGCTCTTTGCTCCATCACTCGGAGCTCCCAACCACTATGGAGGAAACTTATTTTGACTTTGAAGGTGGAAACAAAGAGTGGCCATAACATTTCATTTCCCTCTTGGCAGTTCAATACGGCATCTTTTTTCATTTGTGGTAATAACGTTCAAAACAGGCAAATATAACAAGTTCCAGGACACGTAATGACGACAAAAAACAGGCAATAGGGAAAAAAAAAAAACGAATAAAATAACGAATAATCTCTTGTTTTGAAACTCTTTACTGTCAGTAATGTTTCCGGAAGTAGTGACGTCATATCCGTTGTGCTGCTTGCGGGAACAGCATGGCGGACGCCGGGGTGCTGGAGGGTCTCTTACGGCTTCTGGAGAAGGCTGACGATGGTGTGGACAGCGTGGAGGCCGCGGCCGGGCTCGGGGTGGACCACCAGGTGGTGGTGGGAGCCGTGAAGAGCCTTCAGTCTCTGGGAGACGTGAGTTTACCATAGAGTTTACCGAACACAGCAGCACCGGAAGTCAACATACGACTGATGCAACCAGAGCTCGTCAATGCGTCCAACAAGTCATATTATAGAAATTTGTTCTTAAATGTTTCTGGCAAGAAAAAGCCTTTCTCTCTGCCACCGTGGGACTGCTGAGGCTCTAATGTCCATCCTAGTGTTTCCCAACCTTTTTGAGCCGTGGCTCATCTTTGTCATTGCAAACAATCACATGGCACACCACCAGCTGAATTTGATACACAGTTGAAACTCTACTGCCTTTATTAACAAAGCAAAGTCATTCTTGTCAATATTTACTATATAGCAAATCAAACACAAAAAAGTCTTTCTAATCATCGCACATGATTTTCACCAAGCAAGTGTTATTGGTTAAGTTCCGAGCCACACTAATAAACATTTCAAGGCTGGTTGTCATTGTGTCCTTAGGCAAGACATTGTTGTGTGAATGAATGACTAAGTTCTGAGCCATCGATCATTGGCAGCCTCACATCTGTCAGTCTGACCCAGAGATGCTCATATGATTGCAGTAATAAGAGACTTTCGTTATAATTGAGAACAGTAGGAATAAAATATAGGAATAGGATACATTAAAAACAAGAGAATAACAAATCTTTTCTAAAATGTTGTTTGTGTTTGTAAATGTCTTTGCAGATGATTTCAGCAGAGCTGCGCTCCTCAAAGCACTGGGAGCTGACAGGAGAAGGCAGTGAGATCGCTGAACAAGGCAGCCATGAAGCACGTGTGTTTGGCTCTGTCCCACAGGAGGGACTTGCACAGAGTGAACTTATGGTAAATTCAAGTATATACAATGTATAATGATAAAAAGAAAATTATTATAAATGAATCAAATGTCAATTAGACTGTCAATTAGACTATCAAATATTGTATTTGTAAATAATTATTTATTGCAGTGGTGTGGCTGCTATGATCAGCCCATCAGTTTATTAAAACAGTAGTATTGTCAAACCCTATGTTTTATGTGATAACATAGGGTTACATATTTCACACAATAACGTTGTCAATTTTTGCAGAAATTATCCTTTGGAAAAATTGGTTTCAGTAAAGCCATGTCCAACAAGTGGATCAAGGTGGATAAGGCACACGAGGGGGGTCCCCGGGTTTTCAGAGCTGTAGGTAACATCTCTTGTTTTGAACTATATTTGTTTCAGCTTTTTTGACAGTATGTGTTTGTAGATGGACAGTGTTGTGGACCAGGTCAGAGAAAGGTTGTTGCTGGTACAACAAGGCAATGGTTCTGAACTCGACGAAAAGGAAAAAAACGAACTGAAGAAGCGAAAACTGCTGTCAGAATTGTGAGTGCCAACATAGCTGTCATTAGGGGAATCTGATTATTTTCTGTTTTTTAACTAACAGCTTTATACATCTATTCAAGCGTTATTGATTTACTATTGCAACAACATCAGGAGGGTAACACTAACCTGTCTCACGATGGTGTAATCCTGGAGATTTGAATCCATCGCAGCCATTTTATGGACATTGGTCATTCGCCCCCTATGGACCTATGGCTGTTTGTCATTATTGCATTTCCTGTGTTCAAACTGATTATTTGACCTTTTGTAAATCCTCCAAGATGACTACTGTTGTGATTTAGGGCTATACAAAAATAAACTAGTTAGATTTTAGTATTGCTTTGTAGTTATTAAACTTTAGTCCGTAGGAGGCAGTATGGTCTTTGCTAGCCGTACATAGTTTATATTGAAATAAATCACTTTCTGCAACATCTGTATTTAGGACTGTAAAGTCTTACTGGATCACAAGGGGAAACTCCTTCAGCACCACCATCACCAAACAGGAAGCAGAGCTGACACCAGAGATGATTGCTTCGTGAGTTCTTCTGTTACTACTTGAGTGAACATGGTAAAATAACAGTAGTTTAGCAGCTCAGACGGTGGTCTGTCTGTTAGATGGGGTCTATACATTTTACGAGTTTTAGTTCCAGATTTTGTTATGCAATTACTTGTGCTTTAGTAACATGCCAACCTTTCATGTTAAATATTTGTCATAGCATGTCCAGTCTGCCCTTCTCTGTTGAAGAATAGCAGAATGAAGGACTCAGACAGCGGACATAGATGAACACTGCCTCTAACAGGGGGTTGGTCCACAGACATGGGCTGTGTCCTAAAGGCGAGGCAGCACAAAAACCACTGAGCGTCCACTATCATTTAAATCTGTGTAAATATAAATAGAGCATTTGTTGAGGCTCTAAAGTATTTGGCTAAACACCAACAACAATGTGCTGGTTGAGGTTTTTTTCCCAGATTGACTTGGTCTGATGGTGTATGATTGTTATGTTGCAGAGGTAGCTGGAAGGAAAAGAAATTTAAGCCATACAATTTTGAAGCCATGGGAGTCGCCCCGGACAGTGGCCACCTACACCCGCTCATGAAAGTGCGCACACAGTTCAGACAGATCTTCCTGGAGATGGGGTCAGTCGGCCGCACAAAGAGACACATTTAATACATGTATCTTAACACATAGGTAAAATATGTGTGTTTTCCAGCTTTACAGAGATGCCCACAAATAACTTTATTGAGAGCTCCTTCTGGAACTTTGACTCTTTGTTCCAGCCACAGCAGCACCCGGCTCGAGACCAACACGACACCTTCTTCCTGTCTGGTGAGAATTGTGGTCAAAATCTTCTTAACAGAAATGGCACCAGATCTGGCTCGCCCTTCTCTAGTACCATGCATGTGATATTATAAAGTATAATTTTTGTTAGAAATTATATTATAATATATTATATTAGAAAGGACAAATTATTCAGCTCAATTTATTCTTGTGTAGCCCTAAATCACAACAGTAGTTATCTCGGAGGACTTTACAAAACCATTGAATTCGCCAACACAGATCAGTTCAACACAAGAAATGCAATTATATAAACACATTGGTCCATAAAGGGCAGAGGATCAATGTCCAATTGTACAGAAATGATGATACATGTTGTGCCCTGGATCGTCACCACTGATTTTGCCATTATGAGAAATTGCAAAATATAATCATTAATCATTACTGTGTTAGAAATGTTGACTAAATTATGTTGGGAATTCCTCCTAATCCCAGTGGCTGCTGTGACTTTGCAGACCCAGCCCTGGCTCACGAGTTCCCAAAGGACTACCTGGAGAGAGTGAAGCGGGTCCACTCAGAAGGAGGCTACGGTTCACAAGGGTAAGACGCCCATTGAACTTTACAATCAAAATAATAAGGGGCAAATTAGGGTAAATGCCATATTCCTCTTTCATTGGTCATTCGAATTGCACGCAATTGCCTTCAATGACACGCCTGTGCTGTCTCGCAGGTACAAGTGCGATTGGAAGATTGAGGAGGCTCAGAAGAACATCCTCCGCACCCACACCACGGCGGTCAGCGCGCGCATGCTGTACAAACTCGCACAACAGGTGAACTTCCGCAAACCCCTAGAATTATTATCACATCCCCTACGTGGTCGAAGGGCGTGGCTCGTCCATGTTCATTAAAGGATTTTTATTGTCAAGAGTCAAGAGTGCCTCAGGTTTCCTCCTTTCTCTGTTACCAGCGTTTTTTTCACTGCTGGTGATGAGCACCTGACAAAAAATGAGCCACAGAAGCGCTCATCCCTCTTGAACTTACATTATTTCCCATTTTGAACTTGAAACACATGACACTGGACTGTTGCAGATAACACACTGCTACTCTATCACACATGTAACTGTTGTCAGGGAATAATGATGACAGATAAATATTGGGAATGCAACACAGGGTTTGGAGTCGACCGCATTGTTCACTGTGGTTGATTTTGCAGGTCTGTGTTTCATGATAGTTTCACTAGAATTATGCCTCTTGCCCAGTGTGTAATTGTGGACTTGTATGATGTTAGCCTTTCTAAGCCTCTTTAACACAATAACAGGGATTATAAAGCAGACTGGCTTCTCTGATGGACTCTCTAGGCGGCATGTGTTGCATGTTGGACGGGGCAAACTGAATCCATTTCTACTTGATTCAGTTCAATTCAATGCATTCTTGTATCAGCTCTAAATCACTACAGTAGTTATCTCGAAGGACTTAACAAAACCCTTGAATTTGCCAACACAGATCAGAGAATCAAACCCAAGAAATGCAATGATGCATTTCTTCTGCCCCTTATGGTCCATAAGGGGCAGAATATGATAACTGTATTTAAACCGTTCTTAATGATGAAGAACAAAATGGCCAGTATTAATTTGGTCCTTTCCTATATGTAAAGCCATCAGTGTTAACTAGATATATTAAAACAGTAGTACCACCATTGTTTTTAAAGTAATTCCCCCTTGTAGTAATGTTGTAGTTAGTTGTTTTAGGTATTTCTTGTGTTCTGGAAGTCACAGTACAGGTGAAACTCTGACAATTAGATAATCGTTCTAAAGTCAATTTACATTTCTGATGCCCATTACACACTAAGTGGGATTTGTCAAGCTTTTGTTTTCACGTCAATAATTGGCTCACAGCTTGTATAAAACCTCTCAGAAATGTTAGAATATTTTGAAAGATTATAGCAAACAAAGGCTTGGCATATGTAACTTTGTGTGTAAGGAGTCTGCATAATATATTGGCTTCACATTTTAAGTTTAATTACAAAAAATATATGAACTTTTGCACGATATTCCAAATTTCTGAGTTCACTTTTCACGAAGATGCTGTTTGTCTTGTCAAAATGTGACTTTCTTTTTCTCCAGGACAAGTTCACACCCGTAAAATACTTCTCCATTGACCGTGTTTTCCGTAATGAGACTCTGGACGCCACTCATTTGGCAGAGTTCCATCAGATCGAGGGGGTGGTGGCGGACTACGGCCTCACACTGGGAGACCTCATGGGCATCCTGCACCAGTTCTTCACTAAACTAGGTCAGTGTGTGTGTCTAACGTTCAGTGGAATGATGCTGAATTATGACTAACATAAGAATGTGTACCGTATGTGACTGATTTCACATTGTAATGTTTTGGTTTTGCTTTTACGTTCAATATAGGAATTACTAAACTACGCTTTAAGCCGGCATACAACCCTTACACAGAACCGAGTATGGAAATATTCAGCTATCATGAAGGTAATCTATTGTTATTTTTGACTACCTCTTTTGTCTGTACCATGCCTATTCACCTGGCAGCCCTAGGAGCCAACTCTGTAATCTGTCCTTCTATTTTAGAGATTGTTTTGACTCCATTTTTATCATTTTAAATTTTTTGCAGGTCTGAATAAATGGGTGGAGGTGGGTAACTCTGGGGTCTTCAGGCCGGAGATGCTGCTTCCCATGGGGCTGCCAGAGGACGTGTCTGTGATCGCGTGGGGTCTGTCTCTGGAAAGGTGAGCACTCCAATGTTACAGCTCTGTGAGAGTTTGAAACTATAAAATAAGGATAATCCCAAATCTTTTTCTTTTAGAGGATTACAGTTGCAATTGTGTGATTATCCTTTACTAAATCTGGGGCAATCTGTCAGTACAGTTTATTTGTAGTATTTGGAAGTTTGGAAAAATCCTAGAAAAAGTTATGTGTGTCAGTTTGTTTGTCCACTCCAGCGCGACCACATCTGCTCAGAAGCACACAGCACAAATCTGATGTTATATTTTCAAATAAAAAAACGATATATATACTTATTTATTTATTTATATTTATTTTTGATGGAAATAATTGCACCTGAAATCCTGCAGGGTTGTGAGTGCTAAATCTGAGTTGTAGCTGATATAACAGTGTACCGCTCCCTTTGAAAGTCTTAGAATTATTTTGTTTTGTCGAGTACCACATCAAACCATGTTTTCAAACTATGTCTGAAACCAGACTTCAGACGTCATAAATTAGGAAAAACCCAAAACAGAACACAAATTCAAATGAACACAAGAACCACTGCACTAGACGATTTTACTAAATGAAAAAGTCAAACAGGCGGTAGCAGAGTGACTCTAATATAATCTAAATATGGAAGGAGGCTTTTAGGTCGAAAGGGATAAGACTGTAGTAAACACACATTTGTCGTGGCTAATAAGTTTATGTCAAACAGTGGAAAGCTCTATAATCCGTGCTGAGTAATCCCATGTGCAGCCAGGCTTCTGCCGTTTGACCTGTGAGGCACTGACAGCACTCTGTTGTGGCTGCAGCCTCAGAGGTGATCTCACGTCTCACACCGGACTCTGTTTTGTCCTTCAGACCAACGATGATCAAGTACGGCATCAACAACATCCGCGAGCTGGTGGGACACAAGGTGAACCTGCAGATGGTGTACGACAGCCCCCTCTGCAGACTGGACTCATGATTGTGCACTTGGCATTACACGCTCTGCGATAAGAAGAGTCAAGGATTTTTACATAGTGTTGCCTCGGTTACTGCATCAAATCAAACTCGATGTACAGAAAACAGTTTTGGAAATAACTTAAGGTAAAATATTAAATAAATTGTTTTTGGAGTTGAACCTTTATCTCTGTTTTGTGCATATGTTTTTCAAGAGGATTGCAGATCAAATTTAAAGAGGCTATACCCAATTTTTGTTTTGTTTATTTTATTATTATTTTTTGGTGTGATTTCATAAAAATGCTTATTACTACATACAAGTTGTACTATAATCCGTAATTTAATTGAAAACTTGAACTCATTGATTCAGCGGTGTATGATTTCAGGCCGTGACGCCCGCTCTCCTCCACTCACAGAACGAGGCTGCGTCCTCTAGCCTCTACAGCGCTGGCAAACACAGTTGCATGTTAGCAGAATTGGCTATAACTCCTCTTGCTGTAACTGCAGACACTGCAAAACAGCCCAAACGACACAACAGTGAGGAAGAAAAGAGGGAACCAAAGCGAAAAAAATTATCAAAGAAGAAAGCAAGCCCAGGTGAACATAGCTAGCTTACATCGTATCCTCTGGAGAGACTTACAGTCTATGGGAGAGATCTACGGGAGCTGAGGGGCGGTGCTAAACATTCAGACCTTGCAATAACGGGTATAGCGCCTTTTAACTTTCCATTTATGTGAAATTAGTATAAAAAGCAACACTTTTGGATCTTTGACATTTACTCACTGCTACTTTTATTGCTTAGAAAATACCATGACATTTTTTCCCGATAATGAGTGAAGGTGCTTTCACGAATCTGAGTTGTAGACAAATCTGCAGACTGACATCTACGGCATTAAAGCACTACTCTGACCACAGCTGCCATGAGGCAGACTGATGGAAGAGGGGTTACTAATCAATCATGCTTCTCTAGACTCATACTTGGCAATGTGAGTGCTTAAGGAAACAAAGACAGATTATATCCCCACTGTGGGACCTGCCCTGCGGCGCTCCTGTTAACTGTTCATAATTTCCGATCTCTGTTGATCTGAAAGCACAACTGGCACATGCAGATATATGTGTCAAAACTTTGTATTTATTGACCAACATTTTAATTAGAAGAACACTTTTGTACTTTTTTGACTGGTTATTCCAACTGTGTTACTCCAGTTACGGGACGGTCACTCAGAGTTCAGGCCTTAATCAATGTAACCTACACTTAATCCCGCCCACGTCTGATGAGAAACCTGGCAGGCGTCCTTGTGAAAAATAAAATGTATTTATGTTTAACATGTTTCCATCCCAGCTTCCATGGATTGGAGCTCCCTGATAAATTCACATTTCAACCTGAGGAATCAAGTTAAGTGCGTGCCATTTGCTTTACTAGGTCAGGGAATCCCTTTACCACGAGCCTCAGGATTATGGACCTGGAGAATTGTAGGAAATCCTAATTCTTTCTTTGTAAGCCTAAGCTATGTGTATCTTTAAATAAACATTTTCCTCGTAAGGCACAGGTTAGCCAGTAAACACCTGTGAAGACAACACTGACATCCAGTGAAAAGTTTATAAAAAACATAATTAAAAAGTGGACTTACAGAGTAAGAACAAGTTTATTCTTACAAAGGAACACAGGTATAAATCAGTATTATAAAACAATCATGATTATTGTTTAACCTTAGGCACAGTCATTCTACTTCAACTGACAAGAATTACAGTTTGTCTTTCATTTTTGATGCACGAGTGAGCTTGGTAAACAGGGGTAAGGGTTTGCTCAGTCTGTAATGTGTGCTTTTCTTGTTGCCTTTATTCCTTGCAATAAAGTAAACTTAACAGAAACACTTTTGGTTCAGTGTTGCAGTTTCCGTGGAACTTGCACTTCAAAGTTCCATCAAAATTCTGTGTGAGTACCAAAGTCCTTGTCCCCAGGGCTGGCTGTCAGGGCCAAAGAGCTTGTGGGGCTGTGAGAGTTTGGGAAGAAGTGGGGCATGTGTATGGCTGCCAGCAGCATAGGGCTGACCTGGGGGCTCTCTTCCGGGGGCAGGGACACCATCACATCTTCTGGGTCCCAGACATGGAAGGCGTTGTGGGCAAACGGGTGGACAGGCGGGTGGCTGGATGGGTGGTGGCATGGCTGCGTGTCACTTTCCTTGTCTTCATCGCCGTGTGGACCAAGAACGCATTCTGAGGAAGGGAAGAGTTGTGAAACATTAGTGTGCTGGTCTGGAACAACAATTCAGAGAGATAGTGGTTACATTTCAGCTGGATTATTAATATACAGTCTATGATTGGAACACATTCAATTGCAATATTTCTCAAGTTCAAGAGGACTTTGTTACTGCCTTCAAAAGCTGCTGAGACATGATCACAGGCTGCAGCTATAGAGTGAAAATTAACCAGGTTTTTTGCATGGCATCTTCGACTTTAGATTCGTTTGTTGTGGTTGCAACGTATTATGAATGAGTTGTCAAATCAATTGAATCTACTATGATACTTGGCTACTATGATATATGGCTATAATGACTATGAATATTGAGACTTTGAAACATTCAAAACAAATGAGTGCGTGATACCTGCTATGTCAATGGCCAAGTCCTTGATCAGGTGTCCAACAATGGCATACGCGACCCCGACCACCACCAGCGCCGCCATGAGCAGGTAGATCACCGCTTTGGGCAGCGGCACCAGCTCTTTGATCGGGGGCTTGTACTGTTTGTACAGCGGCTCTTCTGGCACGTACAGGTGCGCTGCTCCCGTGAAGTTCGTTCTTGTCACGTTGTACACGTTCATTGTGTCTGATGAGTAGTTAAGTTTATAATGTAAAGTTTTAGAGAATCCAAACAATTCTGTTATCCTTGAGCTTTCGTTGGTGCATTGTTTTGTTAAATCCAACTACGATAAAGAAAGTATTGATCTATAAATAATCTATAAATCTATAAATAAATAAAAATGCAAGAAGAGTCCTCGCGCTGATGTCTCTGTCATGGATCTAGTCTGTCCAGTGTCTCTGTCCAGGGTCCTGAAGAGCGCGCGCTCATCCGATCAGCGAGACTCCGCCCACACGAGCGCGTCCCTTAAACAGGTCCATGATCGGTCCCTCACTATAATAAATCATCTTAACTATTGCATTGTACTACTAGATAATCAAATATGGTCTGTTGGCTGGACTGGTGTGGAACCTTCTCACGCTTGAGTATGGAGCCAATTTCAGGCTTATTTTTTAGAGCTAGTTACATCACACAGTCCACGTCCCAAAGATGCAAAGCAGCTGGTCTTGTCCTTCTGTAAGCGCCATGTAAGAGTCAAAGGATTTGTGCATACTGATCACTTCAGTTTCGCTCAGAGTTGGGGTTAACTCATTCAGACCAAACCACAATGAATTACTTTTGAAGATTTACCATGTGTGAGAACCAACACGGCTATGCTTAGGAAGAATAAGCACATTTACATTCACATAAATTATAACACAAATTATTATATTGTTAATGCCTCTGAAAAGTTTTAGTCATCGCACAACTACGCTGAACAAGAGTTGCCCCTAATAAAAAGAAACACAACTCAACCTAAGGCTTGGTTTTTTAAATCGATTTAAAAAATATTATTTATGACCAAATCTTCAAAAGATGTGCAAGAATAATAGTATTTGTCCTAATAACTTTGATCGTAGTCTGCATCCTCCCCATGAACAATTGGACCACAAATATATGATCAGGGAAATGTATTTAATTCAGATGAATCCTCGCAGCCTGATGGTTCAGATAATTGTTATACGTGTTAAGATATTTGTGCAATTTGTCTTTTACACGTCATCTTCATTATCCATTTACTTTGAAATACTTCATATATTCTTGGTGAGAGAAACTCCTTATTATTCCTATTTCATGTTAAATTAAATACTCCACTAAGACAAAATAGACCAAATCCATATTCCAGATGATTCAAAGACAAGTTTTCTTCCAACTTTATTTATTGTATTTATTTAAAATGACACCACAAATCAAAATGTACTTTTGTTTCAATCCTCCACAGCAGTAACAGTAACATCGACATTGACCTTTCTTTAGACTACAGTGACTAATCGCATATGATCATGTTTCAAAGGCATCTAGAAATATTACAAAGGTGCAGTTTACAGGACAGAATGTTAATAATGTGTGAAGCCAGGTCTTTCCTCTCATAATGTAGTCTCTATACAAGTCATTTACACTTTATTGACAGTCAGTAGAAAAATAGCTCTCAGTATGAAGCAAAATCTATGTAGCGGAACATCACGAGCTGATCACAAAAGTACTCGATACGTGAATCTACTTCTGCACAGTGAAGGACTGCAAACCGGTGATGGCTCTTCCCAGGATTAGGGCGTGGATATCGTGGGTACCTGCAGCAGGAAGAGTGAGATTAAAAATCATACGAACAGGCGCATAGATGGATTACTCTTTCATTTGAACACAATAAGTGGAATAGTGCTTATATAATCCACTGGAGACTTCAGCGTTGTAGTATTAAGATGTAGCCATGACAAAATATCTATGAATTAAAGCTAACCCAGGCCCTTTTATTTATTCATTATTATTATTATTATGGTCTATTTGGCACAATGGGTGAAAAGACAAAAAAAGTATGTCTAATATGGTACTTCAAATTGGCTTTGATCATGTCATGTACTGTGCAAAGACAAAAAGTATATAAAAACAAGATGTTAACCTTCATAAGTGTTGACGGCCTCCAGATTCAGCACGTGGCGGATGATGTGGTACTCGTCCGATATGCCGTTTCCTCCCAGCATGTCTCGGGCCTGGCGGGCGATGTCCAGTGCTTTACCGCAGCTGTTTCTCTTCAGCATCGAGATCATTTCTGGGGCTGCCCTGAACGAGAGAAGGGAAGCCTCGTGAATGTGTCTTCATTCCGTCTGCTGCTTCCTGAGGTCGAGTAAAGACCGGAAGGCGACGGCCGGTCCAGTCGGTAAAGGACGTTTATTTCAGTTACAAGAGAGCCTAGGGTTTTTCAACTTATTCCAACTTGTGTACTTTGATCTTGAAGAGTGTTTCTCCACCCACTGCAGCAACCGTTCTTTTTCCTCTTACAATCAAACAACAGCTTGCAACTGACATGCCAATTTCCATTAGAAAAAGAGGAAAAGGTCCCAGGCACTCTGACGTAAAAATCATTTATTGTTGAAGGGACATTGCGACACGTTTTGACCCCTCTTGGTCTTCATCAAGGCAAGTCAATCCTTACCCTGACCCTTCAACAACAAAGGATTTTTTAAGTGAAGATAAGCGAGTGCATCAGACCATTTCCACTTTGTTTTTGACTTTATTTCTCCATGGATCCTCAAAGAGCATGTTTTACCCATTTTTAATCCAGAATATAAGAATCATGTGTAAAGTAGTTCTTTAAGTTACTTTTTATCATCGATGAGCCGTCCAAGCTGCAAACAGGACTGTAGACCAATAGAGATCTCCGTCAGCATGTCCGCCATCTTTTTCTGCATTAACTGATTCCTTGCCAACGGAACACCGAACTGGATTCTGTTGATTAGAAGATTATTACAAACAACGATAACGTGTGACTAAATTAGAAACATAAAGAAGAAGTCTGACCTGTCCAGCGTGTACTGCCGGGCGGCGTGGAAGCAAAACTCGGCTGCACCAAGGGCTCCCCATGCGATCCCATACCGAGCATTGTTCAGACATCCAAATGGACCCTGAGGAAAGGTTTAGTTAATATATAATTAACATTATATATTCAACAGCAGAGTCATTTAAGAATAGATTATGCTCTTACCCCCAGACCAGAGACATTTGGAAGCAAGTTTTCCTCGGGCACCTCCACCTCGTCCATGAGGATCATTCCTGTGGCTGAAGCCCTCAGGGAGAACTTCCCTTCGATCTTCGGAGTGGACAGACCCTTCATCCCTCTCTCCAGAATGAACCCTCGGATTTTTCCGTCGTCACACTTGGCCCAGACCACCGCGATGTCGGCCACAGGGGAGTTTGTGATCCTGACATTTAAGCAAACAGTTGAAATGTCTTATATCTAAATACTTGAACCTTTAAAATGGTTGTATTTTAAAGGTTCAGCTTCTCTAATGTGCGTGTGTTATGTGAAGTGAACAGCTCTATCGTGTGGATGACTGATGTTATAGCAACTTAATATACAAAACTGGTTTACATGGAACATAGCCTCTGACATTTAAAATTCACTCTCACTCAGTTTTAAAAATTAGCGTAAAACAACAGACGTATGTTTTATTTTTTCCCCCGACACTCGCCAGTTTTCCACTCCCAAAAATGTATTAGACTGAAGTAAAGGGTCAAATTTTTGTCAGCTTCTGTTCATGTATAATTAGACAAAATAAAGGTTAATTTATTGGCCAGTATAGTCACTTTTTGTATATGCAAAAACAGGGTTAAGAGCTTTTCTATTTTGGAAAGTACAAAACAAATTATGGAAAGCAAGTTATATCTAAACCTCAGTATAAAATGCCCAAAAATACCCACCAGGTCTTAGAGCCAGTCAGAGAGTATGTTCGGCTGGATGGGTTGTATTTAGCTCTGGTTTCCATGCTGCTTGGATCACTGCCATGGTTGGGCTCCGTCAGACCAAAGCAGCCCAGGATCTCTCCAGCAGCTGTAGTGAACACAGAGAAACACCAGTAATGACAAAAAAGGGCAATAAGGTTGAAGATTATTTTTAAATCTTTTACCCAGTTTGGGCAAGTATTTCTGCTTCTGCTCCTCTGTGCCGTAAGCATAAATGGGGTACATGACGAGGGAGGACTGGACACTCATGACCGACCGATAACCGCTGTCAACTCTCTCCACTTCTCTGGCTATCAGACCGTAGGCCACGTAACTGGTGCCAGCGCAGCCATAACCTTTCAACACACACAAATCAAATACAATAATGGTATGCCCTCTCACACAAAGTGGAAAGTGCATTTGTAACAAGAACAAGTTTACATCATTTGTAGAGAGAAAGGTTTCCCTATATAAAGAGGCAAAAAAACACCTAAAAAATTATTTGTTGTTACTGACCTTTAATAGTGGGACCGAGGACACCCATCTCTCCCATTTCTGACACAATTTCTCTATGAAACACTGAAACGAATACATTGTAATTTAATCAATCTTACAACTCCTTTATTTTGTGAATAACACTAATGTTTTCTATGAATAACAGTGGAAAGCTATTCACTTCCTGCATGTGCTAAACCCATAAACACAGACAGGAGTTCCCCAGCGGTTTAGTATGTAAGAGGTTAAAGCTTGTTTACCACAAGCTTTAACCATATGCAATGCTTATAAACAACTCATATTGTATTTCCTCAAAAACAAGTTCATCTTGCATTCTTACTGATGTAATAACACAAAAAACACTACCTTCATTTCGATTTGCCATTAAGATGCGGGGCATGAGTTTGTCTTCACAATATGTGCGAAAAGAGTCGCGAATCATGATCTCCTCCTCAGTCAGCTGACCATCCAGGCAAAGAGGATCGTGCCAGTTAAACTGAACCTTGGCTGTTGGACATGTTTCATTTTATTACCCTAGAGACACACTGCTGATGGAGAATGTTGCAACAAACGATTAAAAAGAAAAAACACTTACGTGATTTAGATTTGGTTTTCTCATACTCTGGATAAAGAGAGATGCATATTTTAACTTCATTCTTATTTACAATATAAAATGTGATTCTAGTATATATATACAACATGTTCTACATACATGTTTTAATCATACTGCACTATAAACTCACCCTTTATGGCAGGTGCAGCGGTTCCCTGCGCTCTGGAAGCAGATACAATCGCACATCTCTGAGGATTTAGCAGGAGTCGGCACACACCTCTTAGAGCCATGATGGGACTAAAACAGAAAACCACAAAATGTAGCACTGGTTAGTAAATCAATATATAGCTAGTAACAGCAAGTACAATAACATACTGTAGATAACATTGCTATTCCTAATCTTCTGTCATCTCTGATAGTCACGGTGTATAAAATAAATGTCTGTCAACAAAAATAATCATGTCAACAAGAACACAAACACTTCATGCTAAGCTAACGCAGCTAACTTGTGTAAGATGTTGCTAAGCTAGCTCATAGCAACAATAACGATAGCATACATCAAACAAGTTGTTAAAACTATTCTATCAAACAAATAGGCACACTAACAGAACAGACATAAGTAGTGTTACTGACAGTGGTTATAAGAGTTTATCCAGTGCGCAATGTCCCACAAAAACAAGTCCTTGTCCAGAGTCCAGAGCAGCTCAGGTGACAGTACGTGGACACGAGAATGACGTCATGACGCACACGGTCTGCTGCGCGGATCTTGGTTAATTGATTGATTGATTGTTGATTGATTATTGCAAGACATAACCCATGTATAAAGATACTAGCATTGGAAGGATAGGTCAAAGGGAAAGGACATATTTGTTTCCGGGCTAATCCTTCCCATAAATAAGATAACAAGACACAATTTAAAAAAATATATGATAGCAAAAAACTGAAAGATGGAATGATAATAATGTGTTCTACGCCATTATACTTTGGCACATGTGAATGATTCCAACAACATTGAAACAAATCGTTAGTGTTAAACCTGTTAATGATCTACGTGGGAATCCGTGACCCGTGATAGCATCTGGCACATATCTGGACCTGGGAAATGTGACTCAATTACATTATATGATTGAATTGGAAAAGGTTCTCAACATTAACGCATCCAATGAGCAATTCCAAATAGACATAGAGCTATAAACATGCATGAGGTGGAAAACATCGCCTTTTTATCCAATCTTGGTATGTAATTATATAGCTATGTTTATTGTGTAAATTGACATTAGGAATGAATCTTCAGGGCATACATTTTCGTAGGCCTATATTTATTATATTATTATGACAATGCAGTGCCAAAGTTAACGGTACAAGTAGCACAGCCGTCACTCAGCTCGCTATTGGCCCAGTCACGCGTCCATCAAAAACCCTGCGCGCTGATTGGTTCCACGCCTCCTCGAAGTTATCTCTCTGTAATGTTACTAGGGCAGTCTGAAGATTTTGGAGCGACTTCTGTAAAGTGTTTGAACTGCGAACAGCGACGCTCCATCGGCTCTGCGTGACGAGAAATGGTGAGCTCCCGTCACATGTGAGCAGCTCTGCAGAGGAACCAGCAATTCCCCAAACCATGGAACTAGAGGAGAAGGCGAAATATGGTAATTATTTAAACCCCCACAGCATTCGCCAGTTCATTTGTCCTGGGATAGCGCTCACTCACAAAACATTACAGACGGCATTGCGTGTTTTCTACTGTTGAGGCGCAAATAGCAGCACTTTTACTTTAAGACTATTTCTATTCGCTGCGCTCAGTAAACGGATCACTTTCATTTATGTCTCTGTGTTGATATTTTGCATGCAATCTCCGGGGGTTCAGGTCCGTGGGAACAGACAATGTGGCCACATATTTTGGCTGGTAGCTCTGTGCTAAAGCAGTTTGTGTGGCTACAAAGTAAATGACCCTGTTATTGTCCAGGGTACAATGTAGTAATGTGTGCAGTGCTGGTCCAGTTGCTACATTCCTCAGTGTGGTATGGAAGAAGGCAACAGGAGCTCACCTCCCAGCTGCTATTCAGGGCACAGCTTATTAAAAAGCACATTGTATAGTTGTTTTGTGGCATTGTTTAGTGATCCACCCCATTTCTTTACTCAAAACTTAAGTATAGCCTGCTGACAAATGCCAAAAATGTCTATTATTGTGTTTGTGCTTGTGTGGATTTACTGTTGAGCATTACTATGGAGTTTTTTCACACACTCATTACCACAATACCTCAGCCCTTAATGACTAAGTGGGTCCATGTTGCAGCAAAAGCAAGTAAACACATATTTGAGAAGATTTTTCCTTCTTGGAGATTTATGATCACATCACAAAGCTGAAATGGCAGTTGTGTTCCAGGAGATTTTCTTCTTTGAATTGGCTGTATATCTAACTTTCCTCACGACAAACCAGTGTCAGATGAGACTGGCGCGGCCCATGTTGAAGTAATTTACCAGCGGATCCCTCAATTGCAGGACTAGAGGCAAAAGTATGGCCATGCCCAGTAACCATTCCATGTAATTAGAAGCTGTATGTAGATGATTATGGTTTGGAACTCAGCTCTTTTCATTCTTGCATTGCGTTCTTGTTCGGCTGTAAGGACATTGTTTTTCTTCACTTCTTTAAATTACATAAAAAGCCTGCATGGTGGTATAGAAACAAGGTCGTGTGACTTTATTGACTGTCAAGTGTGTGCCAACATCTTAGAGTGCAGAGTGCGGTGAAGCTAATGAGCAAAAGGAAATGTGCTTCTGACAAGAGGAGATATGCAGAGGCTGTCGGTCGTCAAAGCCGCTTCACAATCCTCAGCGTTCTGCTCTGTCGGGCACAGACAGTGGAAGGTAATGATCCAGTGGACAAGACACTGACACAACATCTCACCAAATGAAGGTTGACTGAAACAAACACAGGCCTTTTGGTTTTATTTCTATGTGATGGCCACAGACATTTATCGTTAGAGTAACCAGCGGTCAATATACTATAACTTTATTAAATATATACATTATTGATGAATAGTATAAAAACTGCCCTAAACTATTGAAACAATTTGGTCAATTCAATTCAATTTATTCTTGAATTGTAAGGCAAGGCAAATTTATTTATATAGCACAATTCATACACAAGGCAATTCAAAGTGCTGAATAAAATAAGAAAGCATTAAAATCATAAATAATCACAGACCATTAAAAAGAAAGATACAAATATAAAATCCCTCAGTTGTATGCACAGTTAAACAGAACTGTCTTTAACCTGGTTTTAAACATTGTCAGAGAGGAGGCCTGTCTCACATCTTCAGGAAGACTGTTCCAGATTTTAGCAGCATGAATCTGAAAAGCAGCCTCCCCATGTTTAGTTCTGACTCTGGGCACTAACAGGAGTCCAGTCCCTGTGCTCCTCAGAGTCCGGGCTGGTTCATATGGGACTAACATGTCACTAATATATTTTGGTGCTAGGCCATGGAGAGATTTGTACACAAGCAGAGCTGTTTTAAAGTCTATTCTCTGAGCCACAGGAAGCCAGTGCAGAGACCTGGGAACTGGACTAATGTGGTCGTACTTCCTGGTTCTAGTCAGGACTAATGTGGTCGTACTTCCTGGTTCTGGTCAGGACTCGAGCTGCTGCATTTTGAATGTACTGCAGCTGTTTTACAGCCTGTTTGGACAGACCTGTGAGCAGGCCATTGCAGTAGTCTAACCTACTGGAGACAAATGCATGGATAAGAATCTCCAGGTCTGCTTTAGACACTATGTTTTTGATCCTGGCCATGTTTTTTAGATGTCCTAAATCACAACAGTAGTTATCTCGAAGGACTTCACAAAACGTTGAATTCGTCAACACAGATCATAGAATGAAACAGTTTGAACACAAGAAATGATTTTAAAAAACACATAGCGGCATTGGTCCATAAGGGGCAGATGACCAATGTCCACAAATGTTGATTAATGTCCATAAATGTTGTTGAATGTCGATTGTCCTGGATCATCACCACTGTCCTTAGACCCTCCAAAAAACCCAATGGGAAAAGTAGAAATACTGATGAATTACAAATGAACTGGTCATTGGTAGGACTGGGCTATAAGATACAGTTTGTGGTAGTACCGGTATCATTTTTAGTGACGGTATAAAACTCTAATACTGTGATAGCATCTGTGTGCATGTGCACTGGTGACGTTTACCTGTGGTCTGAGCGCGTGCAGAAACAGCGGCTTCATCATTGCCGCAGCAGAGGAACTCAGCAACAAGCTTCCCTTCGAACACTCCTTTCTGAAGATCCACTTCTGACAGAGGAGTCACGGTAACTGGTGCTGGTGCTTTTTGCCAGTGCTATTTATACCACAAATTATATCTCAAATCAGGGACAAAATAGAATACTAAACCCAACATCATAAGTATTACCGGTGTGGTTTTGAAATTAAACATGAGCCTTAATCATTGCGTCAAAACAGACTTTGTTTTGTAACAACACAATGTTCTCGTATGTCAGTATTGTACTCATGGTCTGTTTATTCATGGGTTTCGACTAAGCTTTGGCAACAGTCTCCCAGCTCTAGAAATGATTTATTTCTATTAACAATATGATATTTTTGAACAAAATTTGGAAAAACTTCCTGAAATACAATATAACTGATCCCCAGGGGTTACATTCAAATGCTACTACTGCTACTACTTTATAATGCATAAAACAGTGCTATTTATAAAATATCTTTAAAAAAGGATTTTGCCTTGATCTATAATATATCAATAAGGTGTTAACATTTTAGCCTATTAGTCAAAATGTAGACTGTATTATTAATTCATCCTGGTATAGTTGACTTTTTTGTTTATTATGTTTATTTTGGGTTTATATTATTTCCTGTTGAAAATAGCACTTGATTTCATGAATAATTTAGTTTTTTATCTTCAAAGTTGGTATTGTGTGTCAACCCTTTCATATCAAACCCACATAGTTAGTCACCAACGTTCATAATATTGTCTCACTCAACACATCGCCGCCTTGTGTGAAATGTGTTTGCTCTATTAGAAAAATAATGACTACATGTTATTATTGGACCTGGATACAGATACGTTTAAACCAAGGGAAGAGAAACCCAAATGTCATGTTATAATCATAGCCAAGACAGCCGTTTTTCTTAGATTACATGCTGCTAAAATTAGGTTGGGTGTTTTCATTTCAGTGGAAGTGGAATCAGGGGGATGTCGTCGTCCCCGAGCTACTTTTGTAATATTTATTCACATTGTTTGTTTTCATTCTAGAGAACAGGTGTTGGGACATGTTCAGGTTGTGTGTTTGGTGTAATCCAGACATGTTTTCACAGATTATCATTGAACTTTGCTGGTACTTCCTGTGGACTGTAAATAGACAGGCGGTTGGTTTAAAGACTCCACACCCCACCAGTAATGAAAGACACATGAGCAGAAGGCAGACAGCTGAAGTCTCTGCAAAACTCCTTTGTTTGGGAATTTAAATCCACTGGGAGTTTAAAAGTGCTGAATAGTTTGTACTGATTTTTACATCCGTCAAAATCTGGGGTGTTTTGAGTGCTGGTGCCAACACGATAAAGAAAGGAAATTCAGGAATGTCAAGAGCTCAAACGACATCTAACCCCCCTCCAGAATAAGTGTTTAATGGAGAAATATGTTGGGTTTGTTTTTAACCTAATTTCACGTAAATAATCATATTTTGTGTCAATTAATTGGTTAAAAAGAGGGAAAGGTTTAGAATTATCTTCTTGAAATAGTCTCATGCCTCCAGTTTACTGCCGGAGAGGTCCCAGCCCGCGCTTTGAGAACCACTGCAATATGATGGTGCAAGTCTGCTGTGAGTTCTCGACATACTGGTGGTGACTTTAATTTGTATTTTTCTATATTTATGGCTAAATTGTTGAGTGTTACTTGTAAAAAAAATAGATAATGAGTCCCTCCAGTTTCTCACATTCAAACAGTGACCAACTGGAGGGTTAGCTCTGCATGACAACTGCATGTAAACAAGCTGGATATTACAACAAAAATAGCATCAAAAGTCACGGTGAGACAGGTCAACTCGGCAAGTATTTCTGTAAATGGCAATATTGATGAAACATATTTCGTCAGAGAAAATTCCAATCGTCCGTGGTCGTCAGTCCTAGTGCTGTGAGTCACTTTGCCTGCCCTGTTTCTCGATGTAGAGTGAAGAAAACACACACACACAAGAGCGGATAAACGGACAGCTCACCCACTCACGACATTTACCATCAAATGTGTTGCTTTAATGTGACGAGCAGCTGTGATGAGTCATTATATTGTCACATAGAAGGACTCTGTGTGGAAACTGGAAACAGAGACAGTTTTCCGTTTTTTTTATTTTTTTCATTTTTTAGCCAAGCTCACAAAACAAAATGGGTTGGAAGCTTAGTTTTCCATTTGAACCATCTGGAAAAGACCTACTTTACTACAGTCTCCAAAACACGGCAAATTTGTTTAATCAGGGAAAAAATGCTCCCACATCTGTAGTTCATACATTTTTTGACTGACCTGTCTTGTTTTTAATAATAAAAAATAATATACATTTAATAAACAAGAATCCAAAAACAAAACTCAATTGAATGTGAAATACAGGGACTGGGGAAGAAGACAAGACCTGAGGCACAAACACACAATGGACTGACAACAAGAGGGAAAGAACAGGGAATTTTACTGCGGAACACAGATGTAACACATCAGGGCAGGCAAGTACATCTCAAAAAGACACAGTAGAGCAGATTATACAGACATGACATAACCCCTTGCAAGATGCAAAGGTAGTGTTGAGAATCAAACTCAGACAAAACGGGATCTTGTGCATCATGGCGTGGTTGGCATGGTTGGCACAAAATGGCAGTTGATTCAGATGTTTCAATCTTTCCAGGTTTTCTCAGTTGTCTCCGTTTTTTTCAGGATCTTTCAGACAGAACAAAGGCAGGGCATGATTTATATAGTCACTGTTACGTCACACATCGATAGACATACGCATCACATCAGAGACGCTCAGAACATATCGTAGTCATAACATGGATACTCAATCACAGTCCTTGTAGAGTCTTGCAGTTGTCCACCTGCTAGGCCATATACTGTAGCTATCTAATGCTCATAGTAGTAAAGTATTTATCATAACTTTTGAAGTACAATCATATCCTCGATAATTTTATACATTTCCCATTCAATCGCATGAAATAGAGCCTTCAGGAAGTTCAGATTATTTTAACAATAGCTAATATACTTTCAGATGCTTTATTTAGAAATAACATGAATATGTAATAAAATGGGAAAAAAAAGTAATGTAGCAAGGACAAGCATGATTGATAAACAGATTTTTATTACTGGGTTCCATTATTGTGGTTTTAAAGTTACGTACCCCAGCTTTAAACTTGACACTTCTTCCCCAATCACTGTAGCAGACAATAGCCTCCATATCCCTATAGGGGGCAACACTGTGAGAAATGTACTCTTTTAGTTTTTACCTAAACACTAATAAATATTTTCACTAAAATGCTCAGCTGATCTCCTTCCCCCCGCCCTCAATATTACATCTGCCCATTGTTACGTGTTCATATTGTCATCTTTAAACGTGATGGCTTTGTTAGCAGCAGGTTGTATCAGGTTAAACACTGGGGGAAGTGCAGGGGGTGGAGCCAGTATTGGCCGGTGAGGAGGCAGCAGTCACAGGCAGACAGGTCCAACTGGTTCTTTCTTATACAAAACCAGGGCTTCTCTCGCTTTTCCCAACTCTAAAATCAAGCAAAAATCAGGTCCGATCAGCCTCTTCCCACACAGAAACATGCCAGAGGACGGGGGAGAGTACTATGGAAAGCATGGTAACTATACTTGTTTTAAGCCTAAATGTTTAAGTTTGCAATTGTTGGTTATTGTTGCTGAAACGTGCTTATTAAAGCTTTGTGAATGCTGATAGTGGGGGCGATACTCTGCTATGGGTGTGTGTGTTTGGCAATGATCCAGTGGAAAACTTGTGTTTGGTTGATTATACAGGTGTGTAGCCGTTTCGTTATCAGCACTACACACTTAATGGGTCTTGCTCTTGATAAAGAAAGGAACAATCACTGCTTTGACTGTAAACAAAGAGCTTTCATGCTTTTTCTTTCGGTAACAAGGCTTCAGTCAAAATCTAGATTGGATCACACCAAGTAGGACTATGTAGTGAAATCCATGTAACTAGTTCCTTGCTCTAAAACGGTTTGGTATTGTTGGCCTCACAGCTTTTAGATCAGATTTTTCAATGAAAGGGAGAGTATCCAGCCCTGTGTCAGCCTCACTAAGCCAATCTGCTCTCACTATGTCTTTCTGTTGGGACAAACAAAGTATGAATGAAATGAAACCGCTTTTAGGAGTAATTAGAAAACAAAACTGCGAGTTGAATGTAGATGGGAGCAGCATGGAGAATTTACTGACAATGCTGCTAATGCATCATTGTTTCAGGAAGAGATTGTCAAGTGCTTGCTACAGTGTTTTCACTAGAGACATAATGCATAATTCATATACAGAGATAGCGCCAAGATGAACCTGTATTTATCCCCAAGAGTTTGAACAACAAAGTTTGAAATGTGAAGAAGCTACACAGCCTGCAGCATCTCGTTGGATTCACTAAGATCACTTTATTAAGTTTAACTAACATGGAGGTTTTTTTTGTGTCAGTGTCCGCCCTGCAATATCCTTACCTTGATTTAAAAAAAAATAAACTAGAGTTGCATCCCAGTAAACCATCAGAAGATAAAATGTGTGCATGCAAATTGATTCATTCATTTGCTTGGATGCGTAATCTCTGCTTCTGTCCCAATAACCTCAGGAGTCCTGCAGTAAGTTGTACACGTGGGAAAACCCAAAACATAAGCTCAGACACTCCAAGTAGATGATTGTGTTTTCTGTCCAAAAGCGGTCTTCGCACTTTAACACTCGGACCCTGATATAGATACAGAAAGCCTGAATAGCACTGCTACCGTCCACACAGCAGCTTCTCCCCAACCCTCCTGTGGTGTCACCAGGGAGGAATTTGCGGGGTTACCAGGCGTGTCTCTCTTCAGGGAACAGGCATCTCGCAAAAGAATGGCAGGAAGAGTGGGCGGCCGTGTTGAGATTTTGAGCAATGAATATATTTTGTACAGACAGCTACCATTTGATTAGTAACAATTGTCTTGTACCATCAGTGGTAAAGGAATTGTGTGCTGTGTTTTGTAAACTCACTGTATGGTATTGTTATTGTTAAATGTGTGAAAGAGTTGGAATAATAAACGCATTTTCTTCATCCAATCCCTTCTTCAAACCATGTGCATGTGTTTTATTTTTCTGTGAATATTTATAAATGCAGGTTTGCTTGACATGAGTCTGTGTGCATGACCTGTTGGTGGGGGTCAGAGGGACTGATGGCACATACTGGTTGCCTCACTTCTGTTAGTCTGCCCCAGGGCAGCTGTGGCTACTGTAGTAGTTTATCACCAGATGGTATGGAGTAAATGAAAAAACCTGTCAAGGGTCTTTGAGTGTCTAAAAAGGCTTCGATCAGTTATTATTATTAATATTAAAATTAATCAATTCAATTGTTTTGTCTTGTTTGTAGGTGAACCAAGGAAATATGACCCCACATTCAAAGGCCCGATTCAGAACAGGTAAGACATGTTTTAAATAAGACTTCTATGAAAACACACAAAAATGGATGGTTTATCTTGCATCTCAAGTTCCATCTCCAGTGTTGATTCATGGATGCTTTGATAATAACTACTTGAACTTTCCATTATCTTTCATTCGTGAATGTTTTGTAAAAAGTTATTTCTCCGGAAACTGCTTTAACTTATGTCAAGTATCAGCATTCTAGAACTATATTAAGACCATGCATTTTTGTATTTTGTTTTATTTTTATTTATTTTAAAGCAAATTTCCTTTTAACGACTTGATTCCCTTTGGTGATTATTTGCTAATTCAAGCACCGTGCGTAATACATAAAAGTTCTTCTGTAAAAATATACAAGCATATCCAGTGGGACAATTGTGCAACAGAATAGCTCCGTGACTCATTTATGCACGGGAAAAGTAAAGATAGTCTCAGCAATTTGTTTCTGTCTCAAGTCTAAAAGTGCCTAACTACATGTATCTGCCAATTAAAACGAGTAGTAAACTTGTCTCCTGTCCTTGTCAGGGGCTGCACAGATATCGTGTGCTGCATCTTGTTCATTGTGGCCATTGCAGCGTATTTTGCAGTGGGAATCCTGGGTAAGAAAAGCCTTTTAAAGTTCTTCCTTCAGTGAATACAATGAACACTGACTGTTACTTGATGATTTGGCAGCATGGTCCCAAGGGGACCCCAGAAAGGTGATCTACGCCACCGACAGTCGGGGGCAGTTCTGTGGTCACGCTGGCACTCCCCTCGAGTGAGTTTATCTGCAGCTGATTCATCTAACTCTCTCTGACCACATGTCTTATTTCTCCATCAGGAATAAGCCGTATTTGTTCTATTTCAACATCATGAAGTGTGCCAGTCCCATGGTACTGCTGGAGTTTCAGTGTCCCACCACACAGGTTCATGTCAATTAAATTCTGTTTATTTTTTATAGTCCTAAATTACAACAGTCGTCTCAGGGGACTTTACAAAGTTTTCATTTCCTCAACAACAAATCAGAATCACAGTTTGAACACAGGAAATGCAGTAATAAACACATAGAAGCCATGGGTCCATAGAGAGCGGGATGACCACTGTCCAAAAATGTCTCGGATCATCAATGTTCGCTTAGACCTTCCTGCATCGGTAAAGAGCAACTCAAATAAAACCCAGTGGTGAAAAGTTAAGTTAAAAGAAAGTAGATCACCATAGATTACCACTATAAACATGTACAATGGCCCTTCCTCTGGAGCCAGGACTCTCCTAAAAAGGAGAATGTTTGTTTGAATTAAAATTTTTGTTCTGAAGTCACATTACAATATTTTGTTTCCTTCCGTAGTTGTGCGTAGAGAAGTGCCCAGAGAAATTCATGACGCTGGTCAAAGCCTACCACAGCCCAACAAGCTTCGACTACTACAAAAACTTCTGTAAAGAGGGTGTGAACAACAAAATGGTATTCCAGCTTGGCATTCTGACGTTCTAGAAGCCTCTCACTTGTATTAAACCTACTGTACCTGTGATCATTGTAGGGTGTACCAGAAATCCTTAGGCAAGGTCTTTGTCCTGCTATGCTAACTCCCAGTGTGCCATGTAAGCCCTGCACTTATTTTCATTCATATCATACATTAGCACTACCTTAACTTTCGGCTTGTTCGTTTTAGTCACTCGCCGATGCTTCCCTGCTCTGGGGAAGAAAGGAGGCGTGGTCACTGTGGGCAACATCTCCCACTTTGACGATGGCAGTGGAACGCTGAGGGAAGCTAAAGACCTTATAGATGGTGTCAAGTAAGTCTGAATGATGATGAAAAAAATGTATATTAGTATTTGTATTCAAGAGAAACGGGGTTGTTTATAATGTGTGTGTGCAAATGGGGCTTTCAACCATAGACTGTAAATATTAACGGATGTAGTGACGCCTATTTCCTCCATTGACATGTATGTGTGATCAACCTGTACCTGTATCATTTTGCGCATGCGATAGATGGATCCAGCCTGAAACATGGCTGAAAAAAACGTATTCAAAAGTCCACAGCAGATAAACTAGGCTGATCCAAAAAAAAAAAAAACAGACTCTTCAGCATTGACACGCATCTGGAACGTAGCGTTGAGCCACGAGCCAAGAGTAAAACAGTTTTCAAGAGGAAAAAGGTGGCATAATATTTTATTGAATAATTCTTTCTGGGTCCACCCCCACCGTCAAGGAGCCAGATTGTGCGATGACATTCTTGCAATCTCACGGCCCTGTTTGAGTCCTACATACACTATAAAACAAACGTCTTTCCATAGAAATGCCACGGTGGTTATGGAGGCTCGCCAAGTTGTTATGAAGATATTTGAGGACTTCACACAGTCGTGGTACTGGATTCTAATGTAAGTCCACATCAATCGTTACATACAGTATTTCACACAAGAACCTCACCTACTGTGCTCTGGATAACACCTTGCAGAGGCCTGGTCATCGCCATGGTCACCAGTCTGCTCTTCATCATACTCCTGCGCTTCCTGGCCGGCATCATGGTGTGGGTCATGATTGTGCTGGTCATACTGGTGATAGGCTACGGTAAAGTTCCGAAAACATTGCAAAGTTGTATCATAAAGATTTCCAGCTTTAATTGTCCGTGTTGTTGACTGTTAGGCATCTTCCACTGCTACATGGAGTACGCGGCGTTGAAGGGAGAGGCAGGGGCCAACGTGACGCTTCAGGAGTTGGGCTTCCAGACGGACTTCTCTGTGTACCTCCAGATCCGGCAGACCTGGCTAGCCTTCAGTCAGTCCACACACCAAGACTAGACATCATTTGAAGGCGACGGTCTTGTGCATAAACATTGTTCTCTTCTGTGACAGTGATCATCTTGGCCATCGTGGACGTGATCATCATCCTGCTGCTCATCTTCCTCAGGAAAAGGATCCTCATCGCCATCGCTCTCATCAAAGAGGCCAGCAGGTCAGGAACATGATGGAAATGTATATCTGGTTTCTGAACGTTGTGAAGCACTTTGGGTGACCTTGGTCTGTAAAACGTGCTATATAAATAAACATTACTTACTTACTGTAGCGACATTTTCACCATCTGCATGTGGAAGCCAGATCCTGTCAGACCTAGTACTGTGATGGGAGTCCTCTGGGGAAGACCAGATGCCACATTGAGGCGGCTGTAAAAACAGAAGTTGACACACAAATTGCCCCATACGTTGCAATTTATTTTGTATACCCCTAAATCTAAACTGCGGGCGGCACGGTGGATGAGTGGATAGCACACTCGCTTCTAGGCAAGAGGTTTCTGGGTTTGTACCCCTTTTCTGAGTGGAGTTTGCATGTTCTCCCTGTGTCTGCAAGTTTCCTTGCAAAACATGTACAATAGTTCAGGGTGAATGAATGATTGTGTGTTTGTGAGTGAGAATGTGGGACAACGGATGTAAATTAGCCCAAGACTAAAATCCGTTGTGATGTGTTCATTAACATGGACTGTCCCAACCAAATATAACAATAAATAAAATGAATAAATAAATCAAAACTGCGGTAGTCTTGGAATTTACCAAGTTGGCATTTCACTGACAACAGATCAGAGAATCAAAAGGTTTGAGAACAGGAAATGCAATTGCATACACATAGTCATTGGTCCTTAGGGAGTGGGGTGATCAATGAATGTCCATAAATGTTAAGTCAATGTGCACAATTGTATGAGTCAGATGTGTGTGAATGATTAGTGTCAGTGAGGATGAAGGCACACACTGGTTGCATTGCTCCTGTCATTGTGCCCCAGGGCAGCTGATAGTAGTTTATCACAACATGAATTGATAAAGTGTCTTTGAGTGTCCAAAAAGGTGCTTTCTGAAATCAAAGTATTTTTATTGTAATACAAAATCGGGAGGTCATTTTGTGTTCATCATATTCATAGCATTTGAAGGAGGCAAATAATGTGAATATGAATAATGTACTGAAATATCTCGTCAGTACCGTGCACTCTAGAACCTTCAGAGTAATTATTGTATTTGTTTTGACAGAGCCATCGGTCACGTTATGAGCTCCTTGTTCTACCCCCTCTTCACCTTCGTCCTGCTGGCTGTGGTCATCGCGTACTGGGCAGTCACCGCGGTGTATCTTTTTAACAAGAAAACAAAGTCCCAAACATGCTTTTGTTGAACCTTTTATTGAAAGTACCCTTGACAGAATAAACCAGCTTCTTGTCGACTTCCAATCAGCCTGTGTACAAAGTCTTCAATGAGTCTGTCTGCTCACACTCCAGAGAGACCTGTGAACCTGCGGTAAGCACACACACACAGATGGCTTTTATTAGTCCTTCACTAAGAATAACCTTTTATAATTGTTTTTTTCCCTATGAAACATTTGGAATTGGGATGATTATTATTATTATTATTATTGTTTTTATTTTTATTTATTTTTATTTAAAAAAGGAAAGTACATATGTGTGGGCATGCAATTTAGATGGTTGTAGTTTTGGGTTAAACCTGCAGCAGGACAACTCTGAGGGAGTGAGGTTTGCATGGTAGGGATAAAATGTAACCTTTTTCAACTTTTACCCTATTACTTGGTTTTAATTAAAATAAAAAATAACCTCTTTTTATGACATTATTTCAGAATTACTCTACAAGCCTCATGAAAACAGAGTGTCCAGACTCCGAGTGCCTTTTTGCCTTCTACGGAGGAGAGACCGTTTACCACAAGTACCTGATCGCGCTGCAGTTCTACAATGTCTTCCTCTTCTTCTGGTGCGCAAACTTTGTCATGGCGCTGGGTCAGATGACTCTGGCTGGGGCCTTTGCTTCATATTATTGGGCCTTTGTCAAACCAGACGACATGCCTGCCTTTCCGGTTTTCGCCTCCCTGGGAAGATCTCTCAGGTGGGTAAAGAAATGGCTTTTTTTCTGAACTTGTTTGGCTCCACGTGCAATCTACGATGAGCAAAGGATTATTAAATTATATTGGTGTTGACAAGACGACAGAATCTATAAATAGAGTTGTTAACAAAGCACTACTGTTTCTCTTCTTTTTATGAAGTTGCTTGTTTTCCGGCCCCACAGTTTACATTGTTGATTTCACTTTTGCAGATATCACACAGGCACCCTGGCGTTCGGCTCTCTCATCCTCTCCATCATTCAGATAATCAGAGTCCTGCTGGAATACCTGGACCACAAGCTCAAAGGTACGGGGTATATGACTAACACACATTTCAAACGTTTTGTGTCAATAACTAATCCCCCTTTTATTTGTGTGGTTGTTTACAGGAGCCAAAAACAAGTGCACCAAGTTCCTGTTGTGTTGCCTCAAGTGCTGCTTCTGGTGTTTGGAGAAATTTGTCAAGTTCCTCAACAGAAATGCCTACATCATGGTACGAGATATTAACCTGCATTGTAAAAAAACAGAACAGACTTTGAGAATGTTTTAGCACCAAAATGAAAAGGAAAAAATTGGCCATTTAAATGTGGAGTACCTCACTTTGAAACCACAACAAATGAGCAATGTATAGTAGAATCCCTGTCTAGTTCCTCACTCTCAAAACAATTTGGTTCTATCATTAGTTTTCACATACTCTTAGACTCTCACATTTCTTTCTCTGTGAAAAAGCAGGTAAATTAGCTCAGTATGTTTAAGATAAAGTATGTTGGGGTCTGATTTTTATTCACTAAATGTTACTTTAACAAGACTTTCTGTTGGACAAAAACAAGCATTATGAAACAAGCAAAATGTGTGAAATACTCCAGCTTCAATAGCAGATCTAACCTGGGTCTATACTGGATCATCCCAGGTATAAAACGGTCTAAATCGTGTGAAATTGCAAAAATGGTGGCTATATTGTAATGTTGATAGTGGTGGATACAGTACAGCCACATGTAATACGTCTGTGTGTCCACTAGACGGCCATTTACGGGAAGAACTTCTGCACTGCAGCCAAAGATGCCTTCCTTCTGCTGATGAGAAATATGATCAGGTTTGTGATACTGGATTTGAAATTATAATATTGAGTTTAGAAGATCAGCTCAAAATGTGATGTGGTGTTGCAGAGTGGCCGTCCTGGATAAAGTCACAGATTTCCTCTTGTTCTTGGGGAAACTGTTAGTTGTGGGACTGGTTGGTGAGTTCAATAATCCTTTATACATCTGGAGATTATGCTGTTTATACTGATGCTTATTATTGTTAATACCATTAATAATAATGATTAATATTACAGGTGTGTTTGCCTTTTTCTTCTTCTCTGGAAGAGTCAAAGCCTTTGAGAACACTGCCCCTAGTTTGCACTATTACTGGGTCCCCATTATTGTAAGTACTATTACTACCACATGTTATGCTACCACATCCTGTTAGTAATTCAAGTAAAAGTAGATTATAGAAACAGAACACTTTGGCTCTGACTAAACAACTCCGATTTGTGCAAAAGAGAGTGCAAAAAATATAGTGTGTTCAGGTTAGGATATATTCTAAAATGTTCAGGATATGATCTAAAATGTCTGTGGTCATTCCCAACCTCGGTCTGTTTTTTCCCTCAGACGGTGGTGATTGGCTCCTACCTGATCGCCCACGGCTTCTTCAGCGTGTACTCCATGTGTGTGGACACGCTCTTCCTGTGTTTCTGTAAGTACAGTTTTATTTATCGATTTAAAGTTCTTCACAACATGACAAAGACAGGACAGATAAAAAATAAAAATGACTTTCTAATTGTAAAAAATAAATAGAACTGACTTGCTAATGACTAAAACTGAATTCAAATGATTATGATAAAACCAAACAAAAATGTCTTGTCAAAATGAACACTTCTTCACATCATCAGAACAACTTGCAATAAAACGAGACTCAAAGATGCACTGTGTGACTTTTCCGAAATAGAAGCGCGCTATTACGGAAACTTTCTGCCCTTTTTAAATGAGACTCCAACCGTTTCAAGACTAACTCGATGAAAAGGGTGAAGTCTGGTGTACTCCTGCTTGGTTGGAATGAAAACCTGTATCCCACACAGCTCATTTTGGACCATTCACTGCATTGGATAAAAACACATTAAAGGCCTGTCTTGTTGTAGTGAGCACAGTCAACTCTCCAGTCCATAGATCCCACCTGTATTTTGGCCTGGAGACATGACTATAAACACGAACTTAACAGAAAAACAACAAAAAGGCATTCTTTATCAATGATAAGAATTAGGTGGCAAACCCTCAGACAGATTGTATTAGAATCTATGCCACTTTAGCTTCACTTTCTTTCACCTTGCTTGTGGTGTTGGGCTGTCACTAATCCTAAAACGCATGGGGATTTTCAGCCACATTCATATCTCTGCCCTTTCAAAGATAACCCAATCTTCTACTCCGTACAAAGCTTGGACTTAATTTACCGGTTGAACTGTTACATTGCTTGTGGGTGTCTTGGCTTTGCTTGCTTTTTTGACTTTCTCTTTTTGTCTCTCCTCCCCTCCCCTGTCCTCTCCTGTTCTTCCCACTTCCCCATAACGCTCCTAACACTCCAATATACTGCAAACTCCGCACACACTTCGCCCCAATGCACCGCGAAGGCGAGGACTTGGAGCGCAACGACGGCTCCGCTGCCAGGCCGTATTACATGTCATCCACTCTGCGAGAAATCCTCTGGAAACAGCAGGCGGAGGACGGCGCGGGAGAAAGGGCCAAGCTGCAAGAATAATATCTCAAAAAAGACAATATAGACTTTAATGCTGATCTGTGCGCTGTGTGTGTGACGAATGCCTCAAGCTGAGAATCACCCCTGATGCCTTAAAGTAGTAGGGCCCGTCACGAGGAATGGACTTTTTGGATGTACAGCTTAAATACACAACGTGATCATGACTGACTTGTTTTTATACTTGAAATGAAGAATTAATGTACCTGAAGACAAACAGAGCACAAATGTATAAAGGGTATTAAAGTGATTGTCAGATACTTTTCAAACTGTGGAGAGAAAGTGGTTAGACCCGCCCCTGCTGCCTCCCGATTGGACAGAATTCATTCACATGTCTTGAGTCATTGGTTTAACTGTTCTTTTCCAGCTAATCTCACTGGTCGTAGTAATGTTTGTTGTGGAGGGGGGCTTGCTGTATGCGATAGTACAGTGTCCCTTGGTCAGAAATGCATACACAAGTGAAATGCAACTGACAACACGTTTATGTTTTGTGTTGTGATGTTTGGTGCTGAACTGAGCTGTAGCGGGAGGAACTCTGCCTTTTTCTAGATTCTGTTTGTTCAAACTTGAAGCCGCTCTTGTGCCTATACTATTTCAATTCTCACTGCACTTTATGAGTTTGAAATAACGTTTTTAAGGAATTATGTTTAGTTAAAAAAGCTGCACGATTGGAAAAAATATGTGTGCGTATTTTCAGATTGTTTGTGCACTAAAGTTCACAAATAAGGAAAAACTATTTTTTTTCATACATTTCTTTGACTCTTTCACTGTGGAAATTGAATGTGAAATTCTCGCTTCAAACCACTTGGATAAGACTGAACGTTTATCCTTTTGCAAAGTCGTCAAAATGCATTTCAATGAAGAGAAATATGACCTTATTTGAGTTCTTTTATCCTTGTCTTTTTTCGTACTATAAAAACATTCAGATCTCTAAAATGGGCTTAGAAAGATAATTTCCTGTTTGTTGGGGAAATCAAGTAATCTCAATGATTGCAGTGTTTGATTTGTTCATTGCAGAACCTAAAATGTATTGATTTTGATGAGATGGTGATGAATCGTGCGGCCCTGTAGTTATTAGTCATTTACATATGAGTTATGTCACTGTTTCTGTGGATGCACAGACTGCACCTCCGCAAACAAAGGCCAAACTAAGTATACAAATATTGATTATGCATTGTTCCTTTTTTTTCAGGATTGTACAGTTCTTTCAATAAAATTCAAACTTGTATTGATGTGTTCAGAGTTTTTCACATAATTTGAAGACATGATCTAGGATTGAAAGTTGTAATCTTTTTTGCTTTTCCACAGTGGAGGATCTGGAGAGGAACGACGGCAGTGCAGAGTGTCCATATTTGATGCCGGAAAATCTTCGCAAAATCCTCAAAAAGAAGAATAAGAATGAACCGGCCCAATAGAACTCTATAGACTTTGAAACTCACAACCTCAGGTGACCATATTGTTACAGCCCAAAGTGGCCTTCATGATAGAAACTGGACATTTTGTGTCATTGGATACTTTTTACAATTTTATTCATACAAACAATACCAGGTCAGTTTTTTTTGTGTGTGTATTTTTTCAGTTTGGTCGTTACATGAAGGTAAGTTATGTATAAATGTGCTTCAGGTTTATATTACAAATGCATGTTGTTACCAAAGCCATGATGTGTATAGTCTTTTATTGACTGTCTTTTAAGTGTTGCTACAAGCAAAAAGGACAATGTTTTTATGTTGTAAACATATTTCTTTGGAATAAATACTTTTGTACAGAAATTGTGCGACTAAAATAGTTTTTTGATAATAGGATGTTTAATATAAAGCCATAAAATGTTGTCTATCAGCTCCTTGTAATTATTCTATAGTTAAAGGAAGGAGAAGATAAGATGGACTTCACAATGGAGACATTTTGAAGAATTGAGTTTAATGGGTTACTTTTTTCCTCTGGGCCCCTGCTTTTATAAGAACAAAGATCATGACATGAATCATTCCAACACATACTGTCGTTTTGAAAACTGATGTTAAGCTCAACTTCCTATATTAGAAAATCCATTGCAATTCTTACATGTACCACTGCTTTTCACCACACGAGGGCGCGGGGCACCGATCCTGAGGCTGGTTATCTGCATACCTGGTTCTTCTACACGCATGCGGGTGGAGACGTGAGTTGTTCGTGCACTAGGACGATTTGTTTTGTTTTTTTTCTTCAGGTGCATTCACAGTTCATTTGACTTGCCTCTGGTATTTTTGAACAATTGTTCAGTTTGTTTCATAAGTTCTTGTGTGCCTTTTTTCTCCTAGTTTAACATGAGCATCTTTGTCAATATTGTAATGTTCTATGTTTGTTGTCTTGAAAACTGCAAGTGGCAACGTGTCACAATAGGTTGAGTATTTGTAATTACAGAATCTTTCTAGTCCAAATGGTAGTTGTCCCCATTGGATGCTATGACTTGTGTTCAATGCACTGGATAATTCAAATCTTAGGATTAGATGAATGGTTAAAAAAAGAAACTGAGCCTCCTGACCAATTTTGGCTATGATAATGGAACGTCTACAATTTTGGAATTGGTAAAAGGAACCACTTCACCATACATCTGGAGGACCCCATGTGGCTCCTGGGCCATAGTTTGGACCTGTTCTCTCCCACACTTCCTTCTGTGGCACCTCGCACCCATGGGCCAAAGAGACCATGTCAAAAAAATTGTTTTCAAAACAAACGATTGGATGAATAAATTGTATGATAAATTTTTTTAGGGCGACAGTGGCTCAGTTGGTAGAGCATTGACCTTTGAGCCTGGAGGTCGTGGGTTCAAGCCCACCACAAGACCTACTTCACAACTCCTACCGATGATTGCTGTCGTTGTGTTCTTGGGCAAGACACTTAACCCCACTTTGCCTGAAGCCCCCCACTGAAAGATCTCAGCTCCTGTGGACCCAGAAAAGGATTAAGGGGAAGAAAATGGATGGATGATTATTATTATTTTTTTCCTGTGTCAGAAATGTTGAAGCGTCTCTTTGTCCTCACAAAGTGCGTCATAGATTCTTGAGTGTTCTTTATTGCTTGTTTTTCCGCCTGGAGAACAAGTGCGAGAGGGTCAAGAAGGGCCCTTGCCCCTGTCCTTGAAAGTGAGTTGTGTGCACTAGAGCCAGGCGACCATGGCTTTGGCAACCAGCAAAAATGTTCACCAACCTTTGGCACTTCTTGGGAAAGAATCAGGACCTCCCCTCCTGTCCCGTCTGCCCTTCCCCGCTGTCCTGTCCTCCCTCCCCTCTGTCCCATCTGCCCTCCCCTCCTGTCCCGACTGCCCTCCCCTCAGTCCCGTCTGCCCTCCCCTCTGTCCCGTCTGCCCTCCCCTCTGTCCCGTCTGCCCACCCCTCTGTCCTGCCCTCTTGTATCAGTCATTTACTCAGGTGAATAGGAGCAGGTCTCAGCCACAGCAGCAGTTAATTGTTTTTAGGAAACATCCTAAATAGTAAATAAGTTTAGTTCATATCGAGTGACTCACCACTGCTGTGTTTCATTTCATTATTCCTGAAGACCTACAGTATGTGCAGGAACAGCTTCAGTGTTTATTGTTGTTTGCTCGTTACACATCCGGGATGTTCCCGCAGAAGACCTCTGCTGTTTGCTCTCTGCATGTTCTGTGACTGGTGAATTGTGTTTTGCACAGTGTGGATAAAGTTGAGGACACGATGTGTTGTGATGTTGATACAGTTGTGTCTGTCCACATTCCATGTGGCAGCTGTGACCTCTGAGTCAGGCCTTTTGAAGGCTTTGAATTCCTTTGCTCATAAGACACACATGAGATTCTTACTTTAGGCCTGTACATGTGTTCGGTGAGGAAACAGCCTCAGCTTTACACTGATCCGGATGCATTGTGCAAAGTGCTGCCAGACTATTTAAAATGTACAATTAATAAATGTATTTCAATATTTCCATTATTCGATATTTGACAACATGTTAGTATTTGTTCCATTTCATGTTTGTACAGGTAGCTTCAGCCTGGGTTGGAATCCCAGATTGAATAGGATTTTCTGAGTGGCGTTTGCGTGTTCTCCCTGTGTCTGCATAGACTCCCTCTGAGTGCTGCCCTACCACTGTGCACAACAGGTAAAATCTTCCAGCTCTAGTCCTGACGAAGCCGAGGATCAACATCTGGAGATGAGCCCAGTGCAGTACTACAGCAATCCCTCCTCCTTACATACGCCCGAGTGGCATCAGGACGGGTCAAATTAGGGCTGCGCAGTAAATCGAATTTAGGCAATTAATCGGCTTTCAGTAGCTCAGTTGGTAGAGCATTGGCCTTTGGGCCTGAAGGTCGTGGGTTCGAGCCCACCGTAAGACCTACTTCACGACTCCCGCTGATGACTGCTGTTGTTGTGTCCTTGGGCAAGACATTTAACCCCACTTTGCCTGAAGCCCCCACTCAAAGATCTCAGCTCCTGTGGACTCACCACCTGCAGGAGGATCAGTGATGGGCTGGTGCTGAGTGTACTGGGTGCAGCTCTGACTACCACCCCCCCCGACCCAGAAATGGATTAAGGGGAAGAAAATGGATGGATGGATGGATAATCGGCTTTTGAAAAAAACGACTTTGTGGAAAATCGTGAAATCTAATGGAGGATATTGAGAGTTCCCGCAGCACATGAATTATACTTGCAATATCAGCACAGTCTGTACAGGACTTTTATAATACGTATTGGGGGAAACAAAACCCTATATCGCCATTCGAATCATATTTGATACATGAATTTCTAAGCTCCCTCTATAATCAGTGTGATATTTTTTTTTCTCAAAAAAAAAACAGTTGTATACGATTAGACACTTGTAATGCACATGTCCATCCACCAGAGGCCAGTAATTTGGGCTCTAAAGTGATGCGAGTGAGACGTCAACACACACTCATTGAACTCTTTGACCCATGTTTTTTTTAGCTAACATCATTTCAAATTTAAACTTTTTAAAGTGAGAAAAATGTAAAAATTGTTACTGATACTTCAAGGGCAATGTTTGAAGGATTCATGCAATGTAAAACTTTAAAACATTTTACAACTTAATTTATAGTGAAGCCATGTTGAAATTGTATCAAACTCTCTACAGCGGGTATTTACTGCAATTTATTTTCCACTATGTTTTTATTTTTTTAATTATTTTTCAAGACTTATGCATCCAATAAAGCAACACCCAGCCCCCGCCGGCGGGGGCAAACAAGAAAAAAAATACATCTGCTGGCAATAGCAGATGTATTTCGAACTTCATAATCCACAAGCTATATATCATTTTAAAGCTTATTTTCTCTGCTATATTTATATGTAAGTGTAAACTATATCAGACTTTGCATTAAAAAGATATAACGCATAATATGGGCACAAAATAAATCATGTTTGTATAAGTTTCTTTCCTTTCGTCTTCTGCTGCTCCAACAAATTAGACTTTCCCCATCCTTGCTCAGTCTCTTTCTCTTCAGTGAAATAGAATATCCACTTGTATTCCACAAAGTATAATCCATTCTTCAGAAATAATCCAAAAATGTGCATTTTACTGTTGCAAAAAAAAACGCTCCGAAAAATTTTCAGGCTTCTCTTTCACATTTCACCAAGTTTGAGCTTTGTTTACACAAACATTATTCCACGTGTTCCTTGAGTCCTTAGCTTTAAAAAGAGAGGTTCCATGAAAAGATAGCAGTTTTCAGTCCGCAGGACCCTTGTGAAAAAGACAAACCGCATCCACTTGCACAGGGTCCGTTTTTGCCTTATCGTTGATTACAGGCTAGCGCAATGTGCTAGCACTGAATGATTGACGTGTTTGAGTAGCCAATAAAAAGAGCTTTCTTTTGATGGGTGGGACTTGCAGGAACTCTTTTCATTTTCACAGTAAAAGCGTGCGTAAAGACGCTGTTAGTACTGCTGCGCATATTTTATTGTAATTGTAATCGTAATCAGTTTCAGTTTCAGTTTCAGTTTATTCTTCTTCACAATATCACACATTTGTTCATACATTGAGTTTGTAACTAATTTTGTGACACTGGGAAAAAGAAATGGACACCCTAGGAAGCTACACAAGCTTATGTACGGGGTCCAAAAATACAAAGTCAAACAAAAACAGATTTGTTAAATTTGAGATAGGAAAATTAGGAGAGAAATGAAAAAATACATATATACACACACGCTCACACACACACACACACACCCACACCCACCTTCAGAGATCGTGTTTGTGTCATACATGGTATCGTTGTTTCTATGAAATTCAATGGTATATTCATAGTTAATACTGTTTTGTAAATTTATTTTTATTTTATAAGGTGTTATCACCACTATTGTTTTCTATTTACCGTTTATGTGTGCTTTCCCTTCCCTTAGTACAAGGAGATCAGTGGAGCCCAGGAGAGACTACCGTTTTAGTCAGGCAGAACAGTAGCGTCCTAAGAGCCACCGTCTGATATTTCTTTTAAACATGGCTAATGACAGAGACTGCTTGATGTCCTCGTCGAGCTCATGCCAGATACGAGGGCCCTTGCAGCAGATACTAAAGTTGGTAGATTTTAGTCTTCTGTTTTTCCCTCTTAGTTTGTATTTCTCTCTTGTGTCGTGTTGGTGTGAGGCTGTGGTCAGAGGGATGAGCTCACAGAGTCTGGGATTTAATTTGTGGACAACACTAAATATTAGACAAGCGTTTTGATACAAGTTAATTTCAGCAAGTTTTAAGAGGCCATATCTGTGGAAGAGAGGGTCTGAAGGAGCATAAAATGTGGACCATGTAATAGCTCGTATAGCTTTCTTTTGTAATATCTGGAGTGTTGCGGTGTAAGTAGGATAGGTGTTGTTCCAGATCACATTACAATAATTTAAATGTGGTTCAAATAGAGATCTGTACAGTGTTAACATTGCCTCTAAAGGAAGTTGATGTCTTAATTTATAAAATAAACCTACGTATTTGGATAATTTTTTCTCCAGTTCTTCAATGTGTTTTGTAAATTTTAGGGATTCATCTATATAAATTCCTAAGAATTTGGTTGAATCAACTCTTTGGACAGCCTTTCCGTCCATTTTGATGTTTACATTACCATCTTTATATCTATGTTTGATTGGGTGGAATATTATAAAAAATGTTTTACTGACATTTAAGGACAGTTTATTTAATTTGAACCATAAAGCTACTTTTCCTAATTGGTAATTTAGTTGTTTTTCTAATTCTTTCATATTTTTATGAGCTGTAAAGAGGTTTGTATCGTCAGCAAAGAGTACTTTGTGCAAGTCGTTAGTACAGAATACAAAATCATTTATATACATTATAAATAGAAGTGGTCCCATAATGGATCCTTGGGCGACGCCCAAGGACCAATCTTTTATTGTGATCTTTATTTATATACCGCCTTTTCACTGCACATCGGAGTCTCAAAGCGGTTTACAATTGTTATTTTTTTTTTTGGGAGTGGGGGTGCCAGAACAGGAGGCACATGCCAGACCTATTGTACATATTTTTAGTGGTAGGGGAAACCGGAGTACCCGGAGGAAACCTACGCAGACGCGGGGAGAACATGCAAACTCTACTCAGAAAGGCCCTGGTCCAACCGGGATTCGAACCCAGGACCTTCTTGCTGAGAGGCGAGAGTGCTATCCACTCAGCCACCGTGCCGCCCATGCAGTGTAAATGCATTTTACACTACTAAAAAAATAATTTTGACAAAATTTAAAAGAAAATCACACAGATTTGTAACTTATAAGTACCAAAACTAAAAAAATATGCTTTTTATGATGGAGAAATGTTAGTAAAGTAGTTTGGCACAATTTGGCACACATTTTGCCAAATTGGTTCCGAATGACACTACTTTAAAAAAAAGAGAGAAACTGCATTAAAACTTAGAAGTCTGAAACTTTACACACTTGTTATTGACAACACAATGAACAAATCGGCGTTAAAAATTTTCTTCTTCCAATGAAGTAGGCTTTTTTAGGGCATTTATACATTGAATTTTTTAGGCGAGGCTAAAAAAAACAGGTTTTTTTCCCCAAACTTCAAAGGATGCAGAGTGAAATAGGAATGACATAAATTATTTCAGTGTATATTTACATAAACTAGAAGGGCCTAGCTTTAAAATGATGCATCACACAAGCATGTGACATGTAAGATGTGTTTTTAAATAAGCAAAGACATTTGAGTATGCCAAACTTTTGTGCACAAGCCAAAACAGATGTAGGTTAAAAAAAAATTAGCTTTAACTATAAAATCCAAGTTTATTTGGTGGAAAATGTTTTTTAGTCATGACCTTTGATGGATATCAGGCGTCATAAATAATGACTACAATACAGCAAAATGCTTTTGTAGGATTGGTTGATAAAAGTCGAATATAGATAGGTAGTTTGTTTCAAAAATAAAGATTCCACATAATATAATGTGTATTATTTCAGATGGAAAAAAATAAAAAAGCATTGAGCATTGTGATGATTATCAATAGGCATTCGGGTGACATGAAGGAATACATTTTTATATAAATATCCTTTTTTTCTGATAGAAAACACTAATATGGTATGTGGCTGGTTCTGCTCTGGCGAACAAATACCCGATGTATCAAAAGTGATGCAAATCAAAAGTCATATTTGCTGGTTGAAATTCTATTTTTTTATTTATACTGTATTTATGTTACAGGGCTCAGTAATCTCACCAGTCTCCAAATAAAAGACATTTCTGGCAATTATTTCATGGACCGGGCTTTATAGGGTTAAAAATAGTTTTGAAACTTGAATATTAGGCAGAAAGATAAAAAAAAAACATTTTTAAGGGCAAAGTCTGTCTTAAGTAACTTTAATGGAAATTGATTTAAAATCGAAATCGTCCAAAGCAGTAAATAAAATCGAGATTTTACTTTTTTGACAACAAGTTTTCATTTCATAAAACGGTTGATTTAAAAAGTCAATTGTTTAACCATTGAGGGAATTACAGCACCTTTAAACCCTGACCATAAATGTGGATTGTTAAGGCCACATGGTTTCACTCTGACTTTTATACACGTTTCTCAAAATGTCAAATCTTAAAAATGATATACTCCCGTGCAACACTTGCTGCACACACAGAATCATAAAGATGACATTAATCAAACTGTTCCCAAACAAACCTCACTGACAGTTTCTACAGTGATGCTCCAAAAGAAGACTCTCATAGTGCGGCCCTTTGATCTGAAATCATGTGAATAATCTTTATTGTTGAAAAGAATCATCTTGACTGTGTTTTATGAACAGAAATGTTAAATACTGAAAACAGAGAGGATTGTATGAACATCATGAGCTTTTGCAGCTTGATGTAAACATGAATTATCGTCATGGAAACACAACAAACTATAAACTCCTTTTTTTTCTTCAAATCCTCATGTTTTGCTACCCTGGCTTTAGCCATCCGTACACTCCGCTCAATCATCATTTCCCTGCTGGTGTGGTACGACCAGGCGAATGTTACCGAGGTGAAGTTGGCCGAACGTTTGATATTCACAAGATTTTCGCAAGATATTCGCAAGGGACCGTCTGCAAATTGCAAGAGGTCAAAACGACAAAAAAAGACTAAAAATCAACAAAGATTTTTCCCAGTTTTGATGCCTGTAGTAGCTCCATTTGAACAATAGCTAGCTACTACAGGCAAGAATTTGGGAAAAATATTTTTTTCCCCTTCACAGCAACAAAAATGAAATTGGAAAAATGCACTAAAAATCTACAAAGACACTTTTCCAGGTTTTGGTGGGTGTAGTAGCTCCATTTGAACAATAGCTAGCTACTACAGCAAAATTTTGGGAAAAATATTGTTTTCCCCTTCACAGTAACGAAAATTAAATTGAAAAAATTCACTAAAAATCAACAAATTTTTCCCACCTTTGAAGATTGTAATAGCTCCATTTTCACAATAGCTCGCTACTCCAGGCGACATTTTGGGAAAAAATATTGTTTTCCTCTTCACAGTAACGAAATTGAAATTACAAAAAATAACTAAAAATCAACGAAGACACTTTTCCCAGTTTTGATGGGTGTAGTAGCTCCCATTTAATGATAGCTAGCTACTAAAGGCAACGTTTTGGGAAAAATGTGTTTTTCCCCTTCACACAAGCAATTATAAAATTGGAAAAATTAACTAAAAATCAACAAAGACTTTTTTTCCCAGATTTGATGGGTGTGGTAGCTCCAATTAAACAGTAGCTAGTTACTACATGCAAGAATTTGGAAATATATATTTAGAGTGAGGCAAAAAAGTATTTAGTCAGCCACCAATTGTGCAAGTTCCCCCACTTAAAATAATGACAGAGGTCTGTAATTTTTATCATAGGTACACTTCAACCGTGAGAGACAGAATGTGAAAAAAAAATCCAGGAATTCACATTGTAGGATTTTTAAAGAATTTATTTGTAAATTGTGGTGGAAAATAAGTATTTGGTCACTTCAAACAAGGAAGATCTCTGGCTCTCACAGACCTGTAATTTCTTCTTTAAGAAGCTCTTCTGTCCTCCATCTGTTACCTGTATTAATAGCACCTGTTTGAACTCGTTATCTGTATAAAAGACACCTGTCCACAGCCTCAAACAGTCAGACTCCAAACTCCACTATGGCCAAGGCCAAACAGCTGTCAAAGGACACCAGTAAAAGAATTGTAGACCTGTACCAGACTGGGAAGAGTGACTCTACAATAGGCAAGCAGCTTGGTGTGAACAAATCAACTGTGGGAGCAATTATCAGAAAATGGAAGACATACAAGACCACTGATAATCTCCCTCAATCTGGGGCTCCACGCAAGATCTCATCCCGTGGGGTCAAAATGATCATGAGAACGGTGCTCAAAAATCCCAGAACCACACGGGGGGACCTGGTGAATGACCTGCAGAGAGCTGGGACCAAAGTAACAAAGGTTACCATCAGTAACACACTACGACGACAGGGAATCAAATCCTGCAGTGCCAGACGTGTCCCCTGCTGAAGCCAGTGCATGTCCAGGCCCGTCTGAAGTTTGCCAGAGAGCACATGGATGATACAGCAGAGGATTGGGAGAATGTCATGTGGTCAGATGAAACCAAAGTAGAACTGTTTGGTATAAACTCAACTCGTCGTGTTTGGAGGAAGAAGAATACTGAGTTGCATCCCAAGAACACCATACCTTCTGTGAAGTATGGGGGTGGAAACGTCATGCTTTGGGTCTGTTTTTCTGCTAAGGGGACAGGACGACTGATCCGTGTTAAGGAAAGAATGAACAGGGCCATGTATCGTGAGATTTTGAGCCAAAACCTCCTTCCATCAGTGAGAGCTTTGAAGATGAAACGTGGCTGGGTCTTCCAGCATGACATTGATCCCAAACACACCGCCCGGGCAACGAAGGAGTGGCTCCGTGAGAAGCATTTGAAAGTACTGGAGTGGCCTAGCCAGTCTCTAGACCTCGACCCCATTGAAAATCTGTGGAGGGAGTTGAAAGTCGGTGTTGCTCAGCGACAGCCCAAAAAGATCACTGCTCTCAAGATCTGCATGGAGGAATGGGCCAAAATACCAGCTACTGTGTGTGCAAACCTGATAAAGACCTATAGTAATCGTTTAACCTCTGTTATTGCCAACAAAGGTTATAATACAAGGTATTGAGTTGAATTTTTGTTATTGACCAAATACTTATTTTCCACCATGATTTACAAATAAATGAATTCTTTAAAAATGTCAATTCCTTAATTTTTTTTTCACATTCTGTCTCTCACAGTTGAAATGTACCTTTGATGAAAATTACAGACCTCTGTCATCATTTTAAGTGGGAGAACTTGCACAATCGGTGGCTGACTAAATACTTTTTTGCCCATATCTATATATTTCCAAATTCTTGCATGTAGTAGCTAGCTACTGTTCAATTGGAGCTACTACACCCATCAAATCTGGGAAAAGTGTGTTTGTTGATTTTTAGTAAATTTTTCCAATTTCATTTTTGATACTGGTGTTAGTATTAGATAGCAATATGGCCTACGTGCAGGACTGTACAAGGACTCTACAAGGACTCCATGTTTTGACTATGATGTGACTGTCTCTTTGTGACACGTATGTCTTTCGATGTGTGACGTGACAATGACTATATAAACTGTGTACTGCCTTTATTCTGTCTGAGAGAAAGAAACAAAGTAAACCATAGGAACTTGAGAGAAACTTAAATAAACTTCCAGAGTTTGGCACACCACGATCCGTCTGTCTGGTTCATCCCTGACACTGTGAAGGAGAAATAAAAAAAAAAATCCCCAAATGTTGCCTGTAGTAGCTAGCTATTGTTCAAATGGAGCTACTACACCATTAAAACTGGGAAAAATATTTTTGTTGGTTTTTAGTAATTTTTTCCTATTTCATTATTCCTACTGTGAAGGGGAAAACAATATTTTTCCCAAAGGTTTGGCGTAGTAGCTAGCTATCATTTATTGAGAGCTACTACACCCATCAAAACTGGGAAAATGTACTTTTTAAAAACAACTTTACTTTGTATTCACCAACGAATCTGCAAAGTTCTGTCAAATCTTGCACTTTGCAGACAGTCCCTTGCTGAGAGCTTAGCACACGTTTGAGCGGAGACTTCATCTTCATTGTTTTTCGTGTTATAAATCGTCAGCTGCAGCCTAGGTAAAGTTTTTTAAAATACGGACAGACTTTGAATCCAGGGGGATTTTGTTCGAATATCAGGCGAATGTCAAACGTTCTGCTAACTTCACCTCGGACCGAAACGTTTTGCTGGTGGCCTCTGCTTCTGACGCTTCTGACGCACGCCTTCTCTCCTTCCCATCAGCTCTTATCTCTGACACCTGCAGTCTGTAACCTTCAGATCCTGCTTCACTACAAAATACATGAACAGCTCTAAATAAATAACGTGGTTTATTCTTCTGTCTGTTTGTCTGTATAATGTGTTTTTAAAAAAAGTATTTTTGTTGTTATGATGATCATACTGTGCGCATGACACAGCTTCCACGTGAGCTCTTATCTTTAATGGATAAACCTGAAACGCACAAACAAGAGGTCTACACTCACGCGCACGCACGCATTCGGACTCTCCCTCACGCACTCACAAACACATAGACACAGACGCACACGCATGTACGTAACTTTACCTGGGCGCGGACACACACACACAGATTCTCACGCACGCACCCGTACACTCGCACTCACGTACACGCCACAATACACACACACGCACACACACGAGTATACGCACACACATATAGACACACAAGTACACACAAGCACAGACACACGCGCATAGACACACGCACACACACAATCACCCCCCCTCCCCATGTCCCCGCCCCCTCCGCACGCGCCCCTCCCTCGGAAGAAAACGCGCAGTCTGTCAGTGCGCTGTGCCGCGTCCGTGGAGGTGACTTCTCCGCGGGTTCTGAGCCTTAGTCCATCTCCTCAGCGGCCACTGAGACACACACGGACACCTCCATCTCCCATGACTGAAACCAAACAACTTTTACAACTTTTACAACTTTCTACTTTGGTTCTTTTTTTGTATCACCACAACTTAACGCCCCGCATTGTCAGTTCCCAGACGTGACACGGTTAGAAACGGGAGATGAAGCCCTGAATCAACTTTTATTCATTTTTTTTTTGTACTTTTGTTGCGTGGATTTTCTCTAAAAATATTCCCAACGCGATGGAAAGGTCTCCTTAAAGAAGCCACTATGGGGAAATGGGAGCTGACTATGGTAAGACGCCTCACTACAAGAGACAGTTGCTTATAGATTTGTAATACATTCTACACACATACGTGTTGTATGATTTATTTGGCTTGATTTGTGTTCAAAACTATTCAATATGTACTATGAATTAGAATCCCATCATATCTACTGACAGTTTACCCCAGTGTCACAACTCTATCCTGTCAGAGAACTAAATTATCGTAATTATATTGACAATAAAGGCATTACTTATTGTATAAGCATATTGTAAACACGTTTTACCCAATGTAACTGTATATTAACCTTGCAAATTATTTTATTTGAAGGGAAATTCAACCACTAATCTTATGTCATTTTTCAAAAAGCCAAACCTCTCAGCAGTTTAGACAAGGATAGTTGGAAAATAGTAATAATTGATATCCATTATGAAAAAACAAAACAAAACATATCTCAGTTTTCCGAATTTGTTACAACCGTCAATATGTTTTGTTATTTGTAAATGTGCAAGGATTTGCTCAAAAAGGGGTGATTTTATGATACTACAATAGATAAGGATTTTTAAAAAAACATCAAACTTAAGGGACGATTGTAATTGCCTTTCTGTTTTCTTATGGCACTTTTGTAGTCGTTCTTTGTTGTTGCAAATTAACTATTCATGTTAAATCCAATGCATCCATAATCCTCACGTCTGAACACTGGGGAGAGGACACAAGAGCCTGTTGTTGATCTGGGACAAAGGCACTTGTGTGATGTTAGTGTCGTGTCCGGGACATACAGTGAGACAGATGAAAACATGATAAGATGGTGGCGAATGCAAATGTGTCACTGTGTATTTTGTTTCACGATGTACTTCTGCACAGCTGATGGATGAGGATCTGTCGGGTTATGTAAGGGAGGGACAGAGAAGTGAAGGGAAAAGCCACTGATTTTCCAGTTGCTGATGTAGAAAATATTGGTTGGATATGAATAGCTCATGTGCAAAAACAGATAAGTGACATTAGAAAAATATTGGAAAGGTTTTTTCTTTTTGCCAAGTTTTTTTAACAATAAAAGTGTCACCCCTTTTTGAGAAAACGTGTAAAATCATGAACAGTTTTGAAGATTAAAGCTCGAGGAATACAACTTTTGGACACATTTTTAAAACCGAGACATCTGTTTTGGAGTTAATGTCCCTCTTATATCAGATTCAAGCCGCAACTTAAGACCTATTTGTTTAGGCAGGCTTTCTCGCCTCACCTTAGGGTTAGGGTTCTTCTGTTGAGACAAAACAATTTAAAGGAGACATATTCTGCTAAATTCACTTGAATTTTTAACCCTTGTTATAGCATTGTTCCTCCACAGTCACAGACCTGAAGTTGTTTTTAGATCTATCCACACTAATACTAGGAGCTTCTGGCACAAACATGTAACTCCGCCCTTCTGTCTAAAAGCTCTGGTTTCTGTCAATGCAGTCTTCCCCCATTTAAAACATATCTATTGTCCATAAATTAGTCTGGGTTTGCAGCCAGTAATTTTCAAATTTGAAGAAAAAAACTAAAAAAATAAACACCTCCCTCTGCTGCTGTAGCATAGGGACAGGACACAGGCCGATAGCATCATTTAATACTTGTCTCACCATATATTTCCCACCAAAGTCATTCTTTTTTACATTCTAAAACATAAAATGACAATGTAAACAGTCTTATGATCATTTTCATGTAAACAAATAATGAGTCATATTTTTTACTTTTTTAAGATTTGTTCCCTGGCCTCACTATGGGGTTAGGGGGCTCTGTATTGTCCTATGCTTGAACAGTAAAAAAACGCCAAAACAATAGAATATAATAATTTTATTGTCTGTCATGCGTAGCCATAACAGAAATGAGTCTTTGCCTGAAATTACACGCACACACCTATTGTACCTGTGCTAATACATAGAGCATATTCAAATGTTCTACTTCCCTTGTCCTTCTTTGTGCTATTGGATTCTTCAAAATCTAATCATGATGATAATTACCAAGCATTGTATCGACATCAAACGACTCCCCCCTGCACGCAGCGGCCTGCATCACTCTCACTCTCGGTCAATCCTTTCTGTTCAATATGCAGTACCACTGTTTGCGTATGTCTCTACAACACTCTCGTATCCAAAGCACAAGGTCATTATTAGAAAGCTCTCCGTGCAAAACAGAAAATACCCGCATGTGATAAAGCCTGCCTCAGGTTTTGTCTTAATCTCTTGTGCCTAACCAGTTTGTATGATAGAGGTCGGAGGCTTTATTATGTCTTTAGCTGGGGCACGCAAGAGCTCGCATTAGGAACAACTGAAGCAGATTTAGATCTGTTTGTGTAAGTGGAAGTTAAAGTTTGCTGCTAAATCTATCTACTCTCTTAAGAGTCGAAACTTCAGCAGAGGAGTTGAGGTCATAGTAATCTGAACTGAGGATTCCATTTTGTGGTTTTACAAGGAATATGAATCAATGAAATAATGAGGCCAATTACTGTACAGTATGTCTTCAATATACCTCCTATTTCCTTAAGTCATATTAATAGCAAAATTGACAAGAGTGGCACGTTGGATAGCACTCTTGCTTCTCAGCAAGAAGTCCTGGGTAAGAACAGGGACTTTCTGAGTAAGGTTTGCATGTTATCCCCATCTCCCTATTTGTGCGTTTCCTTTCGGATGCTCCGGTTTCCCTTACCACTAAAAACTAGGTAAAAATAGGTAAAAATCCTCCATCTCTGGTAGTCCTGACCAGTGTATGTATTCAGCTCATCTACATATCTTCATGACTTTGTGACTTGTTCTGTTTCTCTATGTAGTTCGAAATCATCTTTTATTTGCAAAATGTGAGTTTGTTCTAGCTTTCATTAATTTTCTACCATGAGAGAAAATAAAGTGCTGGTTTCCATAACAACACACTGTTCACTGGCAGCAGATAGCACCAGTCTTATTTTGCAGTAATTCAGTTAAAAGTGAGTAAAAGGTAAATCCCTTATACATTTTATACTTTCTTACAAGTCTCTTTATGGGTGAATTTCTCTGAATTCCACTGGTGGGAGCAGTCAGAAGGACCGCTTTAGGAGTTGAGAAGTTTCATAATTCTAGGAGTCCTGGTGTAAAGTTTTAAATACTTTTGACTGCCAATGTATTGTTTTACTTTTACTTCACTGAGGGCACAGACCTGTACTTTCTACCCCATTATGTTTCTGAACTGAAAAGTAGTTACTTTCTGTCATGGTGCTAGTAGAATGTGTGAGTATTATTTCGGCATGTTTAAAGGTTATATGTATTAAAGCTCCAATCGAAACATACAAGTAACAAACATTAGTCAGCACAATTTATCATCAATGATTTTTGATTGTTTTCATTTATGCAGTCATTATTATTATTGTATTATCATTATTATTATCTTCACACATTCAACACGAGACAGCATGTTGTGATCTTATTTTACTTTTACTCTGTTTAGACAAACACAATCAAATATGTATGAATAAAAAAGTTAAGTACCCCAGCTTTAAAGGAGCAGTATGTAAAAATCTGGTCAAAAGGTGGTACTGCAACCTCTCCCACTCTCCCTGACTCAGGTTGCCAGATATGCAGACGAATCCAGTGACCATAGTATCTGAATAGACAGAATTGTTTCAACAACAAATCTATAACCAACACCTTTTTCTCAAAGGCAGTGAAATAAATCCTTGTTTTATTCCTTGTTTTGTCATTAATGATTTGAGAATCATTACAAGACCTTTTTTAGTTCTGCGGCCACATTAAACACAGACAAAACCGTTTCAATGCATTTTACAAACCGAGGTAAGCATATCAGTTGTCCAGATATTTTTATTCATGACAGTAAAATTAAAAATGTTGATGTATTCTCATATTTAGGAGTGACCCTGGATCGAAACCTGACCTTCAAACATCATGTAAAGAAACTCCGTTACACTCTTAAGTTTAATTTGACCAACTTCAGATACATTCGGGGGTCACTCACCACTGAGGCGTCCCATCTGTATCTGAACTCTATGATCCTGTCACATTGTGTATACTGTGTCTCGAGCTGGTCTCAGGGCTGTAAAACCACTATGGGACCTCTCGAGTCACTGTACAAGTGTGCCCTTAAGATCCATGATAAGAAGTCCAGGCGGTACCATCACTGTCCCATCCTCTCTAAATATGACTTTCTCAACTTTGAAAACCTAACATTTTACTCCAATGTTTGTTTGCTGTTTAAAATCATCCATGGTGTTAGTGCACCTCCTCTAAGAACATTTGTTTCATTGAGTGCAGACAAAATGACCAGAACCACTCGATCCACTTCTAGAGGAGAATGCAGCGTCAAAAAATGTAGAACAACTTTTGCTAAATCTGCTTTTTCTGTGACGGCCATGAGTCAGTGGAACACACTGCCCACAGAGATCATTGCGTGTACTACATTTAAAACCTTTTCTTGGCTGACTAAGAAATGGCTTGTGAAAAAGCAAGCTTGCACGCACGAGTGAGTGAGTGAGTGAGGGTAATATTCTAGTAGAAGTTGGGGAGCTTTATTTATTGTTATTAAACTTAATGTTTTGTGAATGATGTTATTTAAAGCCTGTAAATGTAAGACACAGTCCATCTACATTGTAATCAGTTTAAATGAACATAACACCAGCCTGCCCAGGGACTACAGGTGGAAATTAGCATCTTTGCTATAATCTGGTACATGCATCTCTCCTTTTGTGTTAATGCTTAACTGTACACTGTCCCTGTTCAAATAAAGTACATACAATACAATACAATACATGTTACTTTACCAGTGAGATTAGCTCGACAAGGCGAGTTCTGGCAACCCCCGATCACAGACTTTCTGATTGGTGAAACGGTGGAGGGCGGGACATCGAAATGAAAACAATAACAAGATTTAGGGGCTGAAAAACTAATTTGGAAATTCAAATATCTCAGCTAAACTACTGTTATCAGTCCAAAACAATAATCTAAAATAGCATGGATTATTAATGTCTTTTGAAATATTAAGGCCATTTAATGATGACTTGACATGAAAATCAGCTACTTTAAGTTGTGACATTGTGTGTTACCTTGTGTTGCAGAACCCGGTGCAGGAGTGGGGGGAGGAGGTGGAAGACGGGGCTGTGTATGGAGTGACCCTTCGTCGGGAGCCTGTGCCCTCCTCCTCAGCCTCCTCAGAATCGTGCTCGGCCTTTGTTCAGTACCGGACGTGCAAAGTTCGCCGTCTGAAGGCCGCCACGCTGAACCAGCTGATCAGTCACTTGCTGCAGCCCGAGAGCCAGAGCCAGGACGACAGCCGCATCCTGCTGTCCACCTACCGCACCTTCACCTGCGCCTCCACACTCATCCAACTCATCTTCCTCAGGTGCTACGACAACAATATTCTCTTCTTGCTCCGACATCTTTCTTTTTTACTTTTCAACGTCAGTCAATAGGACACAAACTTCATCCATGAGTACTTCCCTGTTGGGCTTCATTGAGCTAGGGCTGTCCATCTATGTGCAGTCTATAGGTTAAACTGTAGAAGGCACAAGGACACGACTTGTTATTGGAATAGCCCTGCTCCCATGACCTCACCTGTTTTAATCTCTCTGTTATTTAGTCAGTGACAAACAGTAATCCAAGCTCATGATAAAAAAAGTGTTTTCAGGATATGAACATTAATATGGTTTGGAGGAGGTTTTACGGATCCATTCTCACTTCTCAATTATCACACTATTGTACACACTGTTTAAATGATACTGACCTCATGTAAGGGTAACATCTTTGTGAATACACAACCAAATGTGCATTTATTCTACTCCAAAGACTTTCAGGCTACACAGTTTGTACAGTGTCATTGAGGTACACAATTTCCATCTGTTAGTACATGGATTCCTTTGATCTTATAAGAAGAATTTTTGTTGGGTCAATCCTCATGTGTAGCCATTTCACCCCTCTTGTTGTAGCTGTAGTTCAGACATAGAAAGGTTCTTGTGGATGGAAGGCTGATTATATACATCTAGTGGTACTTGTGAGGCAAAATACCATAATTTCTGGACTATAAACCGTTACTTTTTCCTAGTTCTTTGAAACCTGCCTGTGTGCGATGCAGCCTTTGTAAGTATTTTTATAAGGGCAGAGTTGGGCTTCTGTCAGAGCAGAGAGATTAGACTTATTATTTAAATCTGACGTGGAAGCTTACGGTGAAACTGTGAAACACCTTGTCATTTAATCATGTTGTTACATTATAACATGAAAACCTACAGCTTATATTCTAGTGTGGCTTAAATGTGGACAGAATTTACAAGTGAAGTCTAGTTACAGCTTAAAACTCTAGAAAGTACTGTTGTGCGACGATTTTCCATATAAAGTCACAAGCAAGAGAGAGGTATTTTTGTGCTTCTCATGCTTCACATACACCACAAAACTCAGGAACATCAGCTTTAATGCAGTCACATCAAACCCCAACAATATTGAAAACAACAGTAGTGATAGAATGGCGCTGAGGCACACCCACTCCTCCAAACAACAGAACAAAGCAGTGGCACCCTACAATAGTTTCTTTGATAATGCTTGATGTGAAAAGTTGGAGGGAGAAAAAATAAAAAACCTGCTGTAATCTCCCCAATTCTGCGGTTAAACTGTTTATACATAGACTGTACATTAGGAGTGGACTGAGCGAGCGCTGATATAGTGTTTTCCTTAATGCAGAAGAGGCTAATTAGAGCTAACTCAAACAGGCTATTTGAGCGAGAACGTGGACAAAAAATCTAGTAAATTTAGTTTTTAGCAACGGTCGAGTTACCAAAAGCCAATCAGGAGCTGCGCCGGTCTGTCGTATGTCGCGCAACTCGCTAGCTAATGCTGAATTCCTAAATTTACAAAAGCAACATCATAATATAAACACCAGGATCGAAGAGAGCGCTAAAAACTATGTACTTTTGAAGCGTGTGTCACAAAATTGTTACCGCGCTGGTTACGTTTACGTTTAAATGTATGAGCAAAACTTCATCCATGAGCACTTCCCTGTTGGGCTTCCTTGAGCTAGGGAGTTAGCATTGTTATATGTCTATGCAGTCTATTGGGCGGCACGGTGGCTGAGTGGATAGCACTCTCGCCTCTCAGCAAGAAGGTCCTGAGTTCGAATCCCGGTCGGACCAGGGCCTTTCTGAGTGGAGTTTGCATGTTCTCCCCGTGTCTGCGTAGGTTTCCCCTACCATTAAAAATATGTACAATAGGTCTGGCATGCGCCTCTTGTACTGGCTCCCATCTCTGTGTGGAGTGAAAGACAAATGCCCAATAAAAAAAACAATTGTAAACCGCTTTGAGACTCAGATCTGCAGTGAAAAGGCCGTATATAAATAAAGATTACTATTGGTTAAACTGGAGAAGGTACAAGTACAGTACACAACATGTTTTTGGAATACCCCTGCTCCCGTGACCCCACCTCAGCTCCGAGCAATCTGTTATTTAGTCAATGTCACAAACAGAGATGGAAGCTCAAAATAAAAAGTGACCGTTTAGCTGTTTGTAATCGCGGGTCTTGCACCATGATCCTTCCCTGAGCTGCGACAGCAAAGATGTAATCATAATTATGGTTCTGCAGGTGCATATTACGCAGCCTTTGCCACAACAGTGATTATCTTCTCTGCGGTTCAGACTGGGAATAACTCCTGTCGTTTCATAAATAATAATTGAAGCAAATGACAAACCTCATGATAAGTATGTATTTTATGTTTTTAATCGGTGCTGCTTGTTGTATTTTCTGTTTTTTTATTACAGAGACAGCGCAGCGGCGGATTTGGACAATACAGACAACAGCGGGTAAGTTGGTTTTAAATCTGCTACGACTTTGGACGAGGTGAATTATTTGTATCTTACCCAAAACAATTATGAATGAACAATAATAAATCACTGTGCTTTGTTTAAAGTTGCAGATGAAAGTTGTCCTTTAACTTGAATACAAATAGGCAAGTACAAGGGGCAAGTACATAGGAGAAATATACCAATAATATGTCAATAGAACGATACATCAGGTCCATAACATTGGCTTTATACTAAAATCCAATATTTATTTTGGGTCAAACAGAAGATTATAACAGAAATATAGCAGATGTATCAACATAACTACACTGCTGCCTCTTACCTTGTCGTAAAACTAAATATGTGAGTAATTGTGGGAATGTGTCGTTGGCCGTGAAGATTCTGTATCACTCTTGTTACTTCATTGTCTAGTGTTTAGAGACTAGTGTGTATTACTCTAGAGTCTCTCCATTTGGTTTGTTTAGTGATTGTTGGCCATATTTCGCAGATTCACGTTTTTCACTTTTGTTAGTGGTTTAGTGAAGTAGCATACTCAGTTCTCTAGGAGTGTGACAATATATCGATTTTTTGATTATTCAATATATTGCAATACTTTCTCCCGCGATCGATTATTGATATGCAATGGCCAAGTATTGATTTTGAAAAAAAAAACAATCTATACTTAATATATGTCTATATTGCACATCTCCATTCCATTTATCATGAAATAAAGTGTATTATTTCACTTAACATTTTTCTATTTTATGTGTGCCATAATATTATGTATGCCATATATTGCTGACCAATATATTGATAATCGTCATATCGTGATCGTCAAAATTGTTATCGTGATATAATCGTTATCGTGAGCTTTGTATCGCGTATCGTATCGTATTGTGAGGTACCCTGAGGTTCCCACCCCTACAGTTCTCTGTAGCCTGTAATTCGTTTTGTGTCGTTTGTGGTAGTGGCTGCACATTCTACTTGACAATAAAGCTGCAGCACCAGTAAATTCCTAGGCTGCTTTGCATGAACTGTGCACGTTTGAGTTCTTTCCATATTGGCTCAATTATGTCACGATGACAACGTTATCTATTGCGTTGTATGTTGTTTGTCTGTTCTTTTGTGATTTCTGTGATTATTTATGCTTTTGTGACTCTCTCTTGTTTTGTCCAGCACTTTGAGTGGCCTTTTACGAATTGTGCTATACATATAAACTTGCCTTGCCATCTTTTCTAATGTTTTATACGGGCCTTTTTTGTTTAATTGTTATATTTTTAAAGCATTTTAAGAAGACATTTTACCCCGAGTCCCTCCCACAATATCCCCAAGAGGAGAGATAGAATATGACTTTTAACACAAAATACATTTATAATTAAAAGAAAAAAGAAAAATAAGAAATACAAAAATAATGGTGATAAAATAAAAGAACAAAATGAAAAAAAAGAGGAGATTTTTTTATAAAAGAAGAGTAAATCAAAGTAGTAGATAATAAAAGTTAAATATGGGCCTTTTTTGTCTTAATTAAAGATGAACTGAATGGAACTTATGTCTGGGTCTGTATATATTCAAGCAAAACTGTACATATTTACACCTAAACATACATAAAACACAATTTTAAGAGTAAATTCATAAACATTGACATGACCTGGCCTCACAGTCAGCCTCTGCAGGAAGTGTTAAAACTCCAGCTGCTTTTACAAGAGTTAACGTGTAACGGGGACTGTTGTGTGTCGCAGGCCTCTGTTAGCCTTCGTCCAGGCCTGGTTGGACGAGTACAGTGAGGACTTCCGGGAGCCCCCTCTGCACCCGGCTCTGCGGCTGCTGCTGGACCACCTGACCATCAGTTCCGCCGTGCACGCTCACATGCACACGCAGCCTAACTTCTGCTCTCTGGCGGGGCAAGCGGAGGAGCTGCTCAAGAGGTTCCAGAGAGAAGGTGACGGGGCAGCAGCGTCTACTAATAATAGATTGTGGACTGTTTATGGGAATGGCTTTGGCTCCGATTCACTTACATTGAAAAGTAAACTCCTCTCACTCTGCAACTCTCTCCAATCTGGGCTTAAAATATCTGATACTTGTATTTTTATTTGAATGATGTCTTTGTTAAAAAAAAATTAAGTGCCTTCTGTCTCCAAGTTTCAACTTTAGCAAGAGTAGCACATGTAAGAACCTGCTCCTGATTGGCTCCTTGGTTGCTATGTTGTTGCCATCCACAAATTTGGTTCCAGATTCCCACTGATAAAGCCCATTTAAGTGTATTTTATTTTTGTAGTCATTCATTTGGATCCCCATTAGCTTCCACAGGTGTTAGCTAGTCTTCCTGTGATCCACTCCACATAAGATCAATCCACGTTAAAAAAGTCCAAACATTCAGTATTAGCTATTGCATTATAAGATAACCCAAGACATTCTCACTGTAACTCAACATTCATTCAAACATTGCCAGTTTTTTTTTATTTTCAGAAAAATTTATCCCATATTAGTTTGCCTCGATGACATAGACAGCTGATTCCAAGCAGCTGAGGATCTAAACAAAACTGTTCTCCTCATACAGCTTGACTTTGGAAAAGGAACTACTAAATCTCGAGAGCTGACCTGCCGAGTCACACGCTGATGGCAATAACTGCTGTACACAAGTTTTTCCACAAAGACATGTGGAATGTTTTTATAGATGACATTTAGCTCTAATATTCTTCTTCTGCAATAAGATAAACGCTATATCAGCACTACAATCTATTTGTTGGGCTACAGTGTTAAAAACAGCTCTGGAAGTTGCTCTTGAACGAAGACATTGCATGAAAGACTGGCCTTTACCTATGTCCTCCTGGACATGAAGGAAATAATACAATCAGTGACACAAAACAAATGTTGAATTTTATCTAGATGCGGAGGCCAATCTGTGTGCGGCCCGCGCGCTCTCTTACGGTGAATACGGCTCCAACGATGAAGACTCTGGATGCGAAAACTCCCTGGATCCCGCAGACGTCATGGATTTTGCAACTATTGCTATCGCAGAACAACTCACTCGACTCGATGCGGTACATGGCACGCCTAAACTCTTTAATTTTTCCCAATGAATTCCCCCAAAATATAACCTTGCTTATGTTGTTTTTACAGGCTCTGTTTGTCAAAGTGGTTCCGTACCAGTGTCTGGGCTGTGTGTGGTCCCAGCGGGATAAGAAGGAGAACCTGTCAACCACCATCAGAGCCACCATCGCGCAGTTTAACGCTGTGACGAACCAGGTCATGTTGTCCCTGCTCTGCCCTTCTGTGGACGTGAGCTCCGGACGACCCTCCTCCTCCCCAGCACACCGGGCCAGGATCATTGAGAAGTGGATCCGAGTGGCTCAGGTCTGCACAGAAAAACTATAAACTGTATCTTTTTTTCTATTTATTTGAACCCTGCAGCTTAAATAGCAATGTGGCTAATGTGTGTATTTTCATTGGGATTGAGTTGTCAGAGCAGAGTTTATGGACTTATTATTTTGACTCCAAGTTTTATTGGCTATGGGACACTAGTTTATTGTCAAAAAAGACTGGTGAATATCTGCATGGAGGTTAAGCTGTTAAACACCTTGTCATTAAATCATCTTGTGATCAGTTAAAACAATTTTGTCTTTCTGCTGCATTACAACACAAAAACCTGCGGCTTATATTCAAGTGTGGTCTACATGTGAACAACAGTGATTTTCTTTTGAAATTGAAATGGTGCGGCTTATATACAGGTGTGCCTTATAATCCAGAGAAGACGGTAAATATGCCAGAACTGAGAAGAAGAATTTAGCCAAAAACAACGTGACGAGCTAAAATATAATCCTGTAACCGTGTTCAAAGTGTCATAAAAATGTGTTTGTTGATCTCTCACACTCAAATACTTTAACCTGTTCTTATACTGTGTAATTATTAGAGTAAATCCATAAAACAAAGTCAGAATGAGCAGAATCACCATAGATTACATGCTATCTGGTCGGACTGTATTGTATTCTGAATCGGACACACTTGCTTCTCTTCAGGAATGCCGGCGCTTGAAAAACTTCTCGTCTCTCAAAGCCATCCTCTCGGCTCTCCAGTCCAACGCTGTTTACCGGCTGAGAAAGTCCTGGGCCACAGTAAACCGGTGAGTGTGGTTCATTGCATTTTAACAGCTTTATTGACACTCTTCATAATCTGTTTTTAATGTGCTGAACTCTGAGCTGTGAGCCTAAACAGTAGCTATAAAACTGCTGTCAGCAAATTTCGGCCTCCTCAGTGACCTTTAGTAGTGGCTTCTGGGTCATGGACTGGACTGAGACCTCTCTACAGCTGCTGCGTCGACAAGAAGGACTGTAATATAAAGTCGGTAGAGGAACATGCAAATGTATAATGTTAATTTTAAAAGGCATTGACAGTATATATACAGTAGCTGCTTTTTGTGATAGATATGTTTTAGCATTGATTGTGAAATGTCACTCAGTTTGGTCTAAAACATGTCCATTCCACATTTATAGATGATTTTAGAGCTTAAAGATTTTTTTCTACGGTGAGAAAATGTGATTCTCCACACAATATAACTTCGCTGAGTGAAGTCACATGCTTGTTTTCAATGTAAAACCAAAGATTAGTAACAACAGACAACAACCACATTTAGATGAACCACAACCCTAACCCGCCACCGGGACACATAAGGAATGCACCTTCAACTGCTACACAGAAAGATTTTGTTTTTTTCTTAAATCTTTAAACGTTTTAAGGCAACAAACTTTTTTAACATATGTTTTTATAAATGTTATGTATGATTGTTTTGGAAATTAGCATGGTCTTGCTGTCACACTAAGGGCAGCACATCTGGTCTGTCCAATGCATTAATAAACAAATAATAATACAAAAATAATACAATCAAGTAAATAAATAACATTCAACAAGAAACAAACAGGATGCAAAATAACCAGAAATACACAGTTACAAATTAGCATCCATATTTCTAACTAAAGCGTATTATATATTAGATTCACAGTTCCAGAAAACAACATTAAACTTGCCCCTGTTTGGATGTGTTGTTTTACGCTACATTTACGCACACATCTTCTATAGTCCTGGCCTTTGACTCCAAACAGTGACTGTAAGTAGGGCAGTCATTGTTTAACGTGCATATAAAAATACCCCTTTGTTCGGCCTAAACGTGACATACAGTATCTGCTCCTTCTCTTCTGCAGGGATAGCATGGCCTCATTCGATAACCTCTGTGAAACCTTCCCAGACGAAAACTGTGTTATGAGCAAAGAGGAGCTTGTGGTGAGTCACTTATAAATGCACATCATTGATTACTATTGTCTGCACCAAATCTACTTTTTACTCTGCAAAAAGTGATGCAAAGTAAGTAAAAAATTGCTCAAATTTGGCAATATGTATAGTAATTGGAGCACATTTTGACTGCCTTAAGAAAAGATTTGCTAAATGGAACAAGCAAAGCGATCTTGTTTTAAAAAGATACAAGAATTGTCTCTCGTGGAATGAGAAAATAAAATTAGACTAAATGGTTTTGTCAATTAGAATGTACTGAAATTAAGATTTAAACCACTGGATATTAGACTTAGACTTAGACGGACTTTATTGATCCACAAGGAAATTTGTCACAGTAACTTGCATAGTATTAAAAAAAAAATAACAATAATGTAGCAACCTAAAAATAAGTATAATGTTGTGAGAATAGAATATTCTTGATATATGTACTCAGGAATATATATACTGTATCTGAGGCGGCACGGTGGCTGAGTGGATAGCACTCTCGCCTCTCAGCAAGAAGGTCCTGGGTTTGAATCCCGGTTGGACCAGGGCCTTTCTGAGTGGAGTTTGCATGTTTTCCCCGTGTCTGCGTAGGTTTCCTCCGGGTACTCCGGTTTCCCCTACCACTAAAAACATGCACAATAAATCTGGCATGTGCCTCCTGTACTGGCACCCCTGCTCCTATCTCTGTGTGGAGTGAAAGACAAATGCCCAAAAATAACAATTGTAAACCGCTTTGAGACTCTGATCTGCAGTGAAAAGGCGGTATATAAATAAAGATTACTACTGTGAATATATACATATTTACAGTATATAATAAAGAGATAATGGGATACTACACATATGTCAAGACAAAGCAGTTAAACTTGACATCTATTCAGCAATTATTACCTCATATTTTATCATTTTTTGCAGGCTGTGAATGTGTCTACGGCTGTGAATGTGTCTATGTTCTGTGTGCTTTCACTTATTTCATAGAATCATTCATCTGCAGTGACATATTTAACTCAGAGTTAATTTGAAACTTCAGGCAGGAGCACATTATGTTCTCTGCGGCTCAGTCACCTCCAGGCGTCTGCTCCATTCAACACTAGGCCTTTCTTTTACTTGTTTACACCAATATACAAGGAAACTGTAGTGACTTGTACACAAAAATAATGCATACAGTATAGATTAATAGATAGATGCTTTATTGATCCCTGTAGGTGTCCAGTCGCAGCAGAAACACATTCATCATACAAGCAAATAAAAACATCATTCTAAATGTAGCTAACAATAGTAATGCAACAGGTCAAAATGTGTATTACTTTTAACCCTCTAGGCGCCACGGTTGACTTAAGACGACCATATGCGACACTGTTTAAAACGAGCCATTGTGTCAAAATTCATTCAAACTCCGGCCACACACTGATTTACACTGTTTTACTATATTTCCCTGACCCGTGAGTGTGGTACAGTGTGAGTTCTGTTTGTGTGTTCATGTCAAAGTGATCTGTGTCTGTCAGTAAAAAATATATATATATATTTCATGAAAATCCACGATTGCCACCACCATATGAAGTCACCATATGCAAATTAGATGAGTACAATTAATTCCCGCATAAACTTTGGGTCATCCTTATAATATCTCTAATATACATAAAGCCTCTATCTCGTTTCACTTTTTAATTATTAAGAAATTAAGATCAAAATTGAGCTTCTGAGGATAAAAACTTCTGGCGCCTAAAGGGTTAAACTTCAACACACACTAAAGTGAGTCGATTGGAGAATAAAAAGATAATAACTGGGATCAAGACTAAGTAAGTAATCTTTTTTTAGTTTGTGTAAGCTCTCAGTCGCACAGGGATTGATCAAAACAAAGGAAGATTGCTCACCCATCATCTGTACTTCAGTTAGCAGGTTTTACCGACATTTCGTTCTCATCCAAAGAACGTTTTCAAGGGAAAAAGTTACTGTATATAGCGCGGCATCTGTCCTCTACCTCCACACAGTTATGAGGGTGGGGTTGCCATACAGGTGGAGCAAGCCAGACCTATTGTACATGTTTTAGTGGTAGGGAAATCAGAGCACCTGGAGGAAAACTTGCGCAGACACAGGGAGAACATGCAAACTCCACACAGAAAGGCCCCTTGTCTGCAGGTGGAAATGCACAAGGAATACATGTATTTGTCAAGTTTAATTTTATTGCAAAAGAGACACAAATTATATATCAATTCAAATTATTGTCAGAATCCAAATCTGGTAAAATAACAACGTTTTAAATATTTACTTCCATGTTTTTATTCTTTTAAAACTATGTAATCCGCTGACCAAGCTATAACAGTCTGGGGTTCTGATGCTTTTCAAGGCGGGACCCCGAAAACAACTCACAACCGACTGAAAACTAAAACTAAAAGTAGTTATAAAGTGTCAAAATGATGCTATATCGTTTTTTCTTGTTGTGTTATTTGATCTAACTTCAATTATGATATTAATAATACTCATACGTACAAAAAACTAAATATAATGTAGAAATCCCACTGCTGTAATGACAATCACACAACTTTTCCAAACAAACTGACAAAGCAGCTGTCCTCCATTCCACAGCTACATTTCCAGTATTTACAATCCTGTGTTGAGTTTTTATTTCCACTTCAAAACACTTACCAAACCAGGCCTTTACTTTTTAACGAGAAAACCTATAAAGAAGGATGTCAGTGTTAATGTGTCATGGAGGCTTACACTGCGTTTCATAAGCGACGTGCTGCTGTAAGCTCTTTTTCTGCACAACACAGACGCGCCATAAACAAACTCTGGGGTTAATGTGCAGGAGATGTTGACTCTGGCTCTGTCTGCAGGATGGAGGTCAGGCCAGCGTGGATAGTGTGTCTCCGAAGATATCCAGGAGGTGTCCGATCTCCAGGCAGATGGTGAGACCTGCTCCCGGCCAAAACTTTACCCCGCTTCACTTCACGCTCCACAGTTTCTGCTTCTGAAATACAGCTGCAACAGGATCCAGTGTGATCCAGTGGGAGACATGTGCAGAGCGTTCAACCAGGCCATAATGAATGTCATACTGTATATTTATTTACCCTCAGATTTAGACTGAGAGTGATCCATTAAAAGTTGTGAATGACCTCTCCAATGGCCACTCTTTTGTACTGCCAAAAGAAATTCCAAAATGTTACGCGTTGATCTGTTTGATGCAACTAATCAATTATTGAAATAGTCGTCAACTAATATTGTAATTGATTCATCTTTTTTTTTGTTTTTTTTTACCTTACATAGACATAACACGCTGAGAAGAGGTTTTATGATTGCGATAGTTCAATAATGACAGCAGAATGAACATTTAGACTAATGAAAAAGAGATCCCATTTTCACTGACTTTTCAGGATCTAATTGCTGTACTTTGATAACTGATTGTTTATCAAAGTACGTTAAATGCACTCAGTGGTCGAACAAAGTCATTACAATTTCAATCCAACTTTTGCTGCCAGATCACATGACGCTTCCATGCACTGTAGCGTACGAACACTGTATCTGCTTTCATTCAAACAAATGTGTGGTGCTATGTCCAGCTCAAATTCACCTAATCAACGGGCCATCCAAATGAGAACCTCATTCTGCTCTCTGATTGGATAATCGGCTTGAAAATGGTAAACATAAATATTATGGAAATCATGCCAGTTCTATTTTTAGAGGAAGAAAATGAAATGAGAATGTTTGAGAATGTTTGGCTTCTCACATCCCACAGATGGACAAGCTATAGATCCACGACTCTGTCCGGCTGTAGAACGAGGACCGAGGCCACGCAATAGTGATAGTTGTTTGGACCCCTCGAAGATCATATGACACATTCTCTTTTCTCTAGTCACCAGTAGACCCCTTCTTTCTCAGCTCTGGTCCATTCTTCTACTGCTGGACACCTGAATTTCCCCTACGGCGGATCAATAAAGTATCTATCTATCTATCTATCTATCCGTCCGTCCGTCCATCTGTCTATCTATCTATCTATAAATAGTAGTGAAAACTCAGACCACAACAACAATGTATCTTCAAACTATTGCACCACATCAACAAGCAAATTGCAAAATACTGTACTTTCGCAATATGATCCTGTGTGTCGTTTTCACCTTCGGGAGCGTTTCAAACAGAGTGCCCTGGAAACAAAATTGCCACATAAAAAGCTATAAAGCCACTAAGGGGCAGAAGGAGGAGGCGGAGGCCTATCTTTAGCCCACGTCTCCCATGATCACTAGGATTACTGCATGTGGTTCTGTAATAATAGCCCTGGACAAGGCCTTTTCTGACTCATAGGGACCTTCTCTGGGGACAGAACATGAAACCGCTGCTAAAGGGGCATTTGTGATTCACGCAGTAACAAAACATGGGTATTAAGCACACCTGCCATTGTTTTGATGTCGACGTGGCTTGTTTTTGATGTTTTGATGTTTTTGTGTTTGGTCAGAGTACGTCTTCCGCAACGGTGCCGTACCTGGGCACTTACCTGTCGGTGCTGACCATGCTGGACACCGCTCTGCCCGACACTGTGGAGGTAAATCAACCCAACATAAACTCTACTTTGAATAAATTAGGATTTTATTGCCTCCTTTTTGCTCTGTATGAATTGTGCCATACAAATAAGCTCGCCTTGTTTTGAACTAATGTACAAAACTAAGCTGGGCTCTGGGCTTGTCTGCCTCCTGTAAACCATAATAAATTAGGTTCTTCTATCCTAGACAATAGTAACAGTAAAGAAGAACCTAATGTTCATATTAAAATAGGTTTGAGTTCAAGTCCACTTCTTTTAGCTATTCAGCTCTTTCCACATTTATATTTACCCAACACAAAGTGCAGAAATTGTCCCTATATATAATTGGAGCAAATGAGTAATCAGGCTAAAACTACAGGACTTTGACTTCACAGAGGCTCCAGCTATTTGTTTCTACAAAGAGTCCTAAAACTGTTTCAAGTTGAGTTTTTAACAGAGAGAGAAAATACGATGTGTTTAAGGGCATATGCAAATACTAATATACTATAGTATTAAAAAAAATGAATTCATGAATATATTTAAAGCACATTAAATGCAAGCATTTAGGCATTCTACACAACACTTTCAATAATCGATCATACAAATATGTTAAATTCGTATCTTTGTTGTCCCCTGTTTTAAAGGGCGGCCTGCTAAACTTTGAGAAGAGACGCAGGGTAAGTGTTTCACTCACTGTTATTGTTCAGAGCATTACACAACTGTAGACTTACTGTAGACTTACTGTAGACTTACTGTAGACTTAGTGTAGACATAGTGTAGACATAGTGTAGACATAGTGTAGAGTGCATGTTTGAAGCATGTGTCGTCCAGGATGACTGATCTCTTTTGTAAACATGTGTTTGTTAAACTAACGCCTGGTGTTGTCTTTGAAGGAGTTCGAGGTGTTGTCGCAGATCCAGCAGCTGCAGGCGGCCTGCTCCCTCTACAGCCTCCACCAGCATCAGCACATCACTGCATGGATGCAGGGACGCAGGCTCCTGACCGACCAGGAGAGGTGAGACCATGACATCACATGACCTCTGATGCTAAGCAGGGCAGGGCCTGGTTAGTGTTGTGATGAGAGGCCTCTGGGAACCCCAGGTGCCACAGTGGGGCGGCTGCGGCTGTAAAGTGCCTAACTGTTGTTTTGTCATTAGGGAGAAAAAACGTCACCCACATGGACTAGAATAAGTCAAAAAAAAAAAATACTAAACATGGACAAAATCATGACTATACTTTATAAACCGCAAACGGATCAAATGAACAAATACAAAAATATTGGAATCATTTCCCTTTTCCCTAAATATAAAGATAAAATGGTTGGGCTAGTGTTCAAAGGTGTTAGTCTCAGGCAGCAATTGGCTATGATCAACAAAACTCCTGTTTTCTCCATGAGCTAGTACTCTATTGTAGTTTTGAGTTGAACTGCAGCTTTAACAATGATCATGTGTGTATGTGGAGTGTATTCATGAGTATTTGTGTTGCAGCTATGATCTCTCCCGACAGCTGGAGCCACCGATGGACCTCAGCTCTCCTTCTGCCTGGAGCCATCGCTCCATCACAAAGAAACTCTCTTTGTAAGTTCTGTTCTAACCTTACGTGACAAAATAGCATTTTATTATATTAGTATTATTCATTCATGTTATTATTGTCCTCAGTCTGCGAGCGATGAGTGAAGGCTCCAAAAAGATGCCCTCGGATCAGATCAGCGTGTCCTCGTCCGGCTCCAGTGGCTCAGAAATGGATGATATGTTGTCTCCAAACTCCATCCCTCTGCAGGTAACTGTGTGTGTGTGTGTGTGTTTAAATGTGTGAGTATGGAGCCCTGGGCTCTGCTCCGCCGGGTTTTGCCTCTGTCAGCAGAAGAATAGTGAACTGAAGTGTTTCTTGGAGACTGTTTTGCCGTGGGCTCGTTCCATGGAAGTCAGCAGATTGTGTTGGATCCAGGAATGTACTCAAAATGAAATATTATACAAGCATCTAAGCAGGAGACTAACTATTAACCTTCATTACCATTACTACATTATGGATATTACTCAGAACAGCATAATTCTGTTTTTCTCACAGATGATTGTCAGTGCCATTACTACTGATGATCAACTGAACAAACAACTACTCATCATTCAGAAGATTTACATATACAGTAGTAGACAAAACATATTTATTCTGTTTAAAAGGCATGTTTTCACAAATTTCCCAGGATGTTTTAGAGGTCAATAGTTGATGAGTGAATGCAGTTATCTAACTTAAAAGAATAGGCTACCGTTTTTACACACTGACATATGTTCTTACCTTACCTTAGACTAGTTTATATGTACCTGTCTGGTCTTTGTCCGCGCGCTCTGTCATGCAAACGGATGTATTTAAATAGGGAAAACGTGGAAGAGTTTGGTAGCTTCTAACGGGAGCTGATTTGGAACTATACAGTCTGTGGAAGAGGCTGCGTTTGTGCTCCGTTTGCATGACAGAGCGCACGGACAAAGACCAGACAGGTACATATCAACTAGTCTAAGGTAAGGTAAGAACATATGTCAGTGTGTAAAAACGGTGGCCTATTCCTTTAAATGAACAGTATGTAACATGCACTAAGTGGCTTAATAAACTCATTACAAATGATCCAACTTTTGTTGGCTGAATCTTCCTGTCTGTGACACATGTAGCTCCTAAGCACTGATTACTGATGCAGACCACCTGCTGGAGTTTAGAAACGGTAGAAACATACTACTTATTTGTTTGTACCTACTTTCATATTTAAAAAAAAAAAGGTTATAGAAAAATGAGGGCCTCATTCTGCTCTCGGATTGGATAATCTGCTTGGTAATTGTAAGCATAACTATTATGTACATCATGTCTAGTCCACTTTAAACTAAATAATTACAGTATAATGCAATTCAAGCAAATATGATCTATTTGTGTAAATGAAGACTGCTCAGAGGTTTAATGACACTGCTCTGTTCACATTCATGAATCCAGGGTCTCCTGCAGGTGTTCCAGAGCACGTACAGCAGTGAGTCGGACTTCTCCTCCTCCCACTCGCCCACTCCCTCCAGCTCGTCCTGGGACACACTGGACACTCCTCCGGCCTCAGACTGTGGCGGGGCACGTCCCAAGCGTCCGCTGGCCTCACACAAGCGCTCGGTCTCCATGACGTCGCTGCCCGTCTACAACCGACAAGTGGCCGACTCCTGCATCATCCGCATCACTGTGGACCTGGGCCACAACAACGGCAACATGTACAAGAGCATTCTGGTGAGTACAAGCTGGAGGTCAAGATCTATCTATCTTTAATGTTCGTGAAGAGCAAGGACTTGTACTGACAGACATTTTGCTCGGTTCGTAGCTAACAAGCCAAGACAAGAGTGCCCAGGTCATCCAAAGAGCTCTGGAGAAGCATCACCTTGAACACATGGACTATTCCGATTTCACATTAACACAAGTTATCTCACCGGAAAGAGGTTTGCATCGATTTAAGAAAAGTCCTCTTTAAAACTAAACCTGCTAAATCCAGATGTAATATATTGACTTTGCCTTTGTTTTTTGTCTCCCGCCAGAGCTGCTTATACCAGACAAAGCTAACGTCTTCTACGCCATGTCCACCACGGCCAATTTTGACTTTATTTTGCGCAAATACGAACAAGATCAGAAGAAACTGCTGAGTGCCACTCGAAGTCTGGGGAGGTACACCAAGTAGCGCTTCGATAAGACAAGCCTAGAACAAGCACTTTATGAAGGAAACTATTGAGTAAAAACTGTCAGGAGTCTCAAAAGTATCCAGCAGATCCAGAAGCAACATGTGCTGTAGTTGAAATCTGAGGAGGCGTGTCAGCGTTACCAGTGGCAGACGCTCCGAGAGTTTAAAATGGAAAGTGGGTCAAACGCTGGGAAGACGCTTTCAACTGCAACATGGAAAAAACTAGCACTGTTTACAGACGCTGATCGTTTATGAGAAAAGAAACATAGATGTATACAATGTGTAGAGAAAACAGACAGAGGTTTTTGTAATCTCAAAGGAGCATAATGCAACTTTTTATGTGTCCAGTGTATGAGAGGTCAGCATGACAATCACAGTGTTCTCTAGTTTGCTCTAGGATCAAATGTTGTGGAAGGTTTTCTTTGCTTTCAGACCCCTGCACCACAAAACCTACTGAACAGTTGATGCTGGAGCGCTGTAGACCCATGATCAAAAGTGAACCGTGCTGTCCAGTCTTACAGCCACTGGGTCACTACAAGGTCAAAGATGCAAAGATATCATGTTTTTTTCCCACATAAAAAGTTGTATAAGTAAGGATTAAATAACAAGGACGTGTATGGTTGAATGGTTTGAACCAGACATGTCAAACTCAGGCCCTAGGGAAAAGCCCAGCCCACAAGACCAATTTTAGTGGCCCCTGAAATGATTTTCTGTTATCTTTATGAACTTTATGAAATGGGCTACTATGTATAGTTAGTATTTCAAATACACCTCTTCTCTATATTTGGCGCAGTTGTGGTTGAATCCAAACATACCAGATAATAATATACAAACTCATGTCAAATAATATTTTTGGCCCCAATCAGCTCTTGTGTTTTTAAATTTGGCCCCCGACCAAAATGAGTTTGACACCCCTGCATTAGACACTGTGCAGAGTCAAAGTGCTTCACAAAACAAGATAGCAACAATAACACATGGTTTGAAAATCATAAATAATCACAGTACATTTTAAAGAATGTAGCTAGAATCTTTCCGTTTGTTCAAACCATACAAGTGCACTGCTCTGAGTTGTTTTAACACGCTTATACCATGGTCATAACACTCACTGCTCATAACATGTTAGAAAACATTTTTATGTTTCTCTCTGCACTCTCAAAAAACATGTTTGAGGAAAGGGACTAGCAATTGCTCCTTAGCTACTGTTGCTATGGCCAATAGTTTTACAAAATTGAAAGCATTTTTATCAATTGAATCCTTCGGCATAATAGACCATCAAAAACTGAGTTCACTGTTTGTGCTCAAGGCTGCGTTACTATGGCGACGCCTCAAATGGAGTGATATGGAACCTGTAATTTAAAATGAGGTTAAAGTAGCATTAATCAACGGTAGTTTGCCTTGGAATCCTCACTGACCATGGGTTAAGCCACCTTTAAAATGTAGCCCTCTGCCATATTTGCAAAAACATACTGTTGTCTATATTTGAATTCATAAAGTAAATCTTCGAGGAATCAGAGAGCTCTCGTTGGAGAATACTGCATTTGATTCTTGCGACACATATTACCTGCTTGACATTGTACTAACTCGAGCGATGGCATTCCACAGTCTGACAAAGATCTGACCCTGAAACAGCACAAAGCTCCGTGTGCATTTGACTATGACAGCTATTTACCCGGTTTTGCACGTATAGGTTCACTTTATTCTCATCGATAATACATTTAGACTACAAGAAATGATGTAAATGATTGTAAATATGTACATGTTTCAATGTATTTAATTTAAACTAGATTTTATTTTTGAATTGACATAGATGTTGAATTGTACTGCTGCTAACATATGACGTAAAACAAATATCATTTCAATATGTGTTGTTTTTGATACTTCATACTAATCATTGTTGAAATACACTCATGTTCATCGATTAAACACAAAATGTCTTCGTTCACTCGGTTTGAATGTAATCAAAGTGAAATAAAAGCAACAACCTTTACTAAGTGTCGTACATACATAAAAGCTCATGTCCTGTACACTGCATAGACTGTCCCTGTGTCCTTAAGCAAGACACTTCACCTCCCCGGCATTTTAAAGCCACTTAGTGACTATGAAAAGTGCCCTTAACTAGAGTGCATACATACATATCTTCTAAGACAAAGTAAAAAAATAAGCTCAATTCAATTCAGTGTATTCTTGTATAGCCCTAAATCACATTCTCCAGCACAGATCAGAGAATAAAACAGTTCAAAGTTTTGTTTAAATACTGCATTATTTTGTGCTGAAATGAGATGTAACATTAAAACAACATTATTCAAGAGAAAAGATAACAAAAACACTAGTCTATGTTCTACACTCTATATTTAATCAAATAATTCCTCAGAAAACATTCCAATCTAGTTTTGTTTATATTTGTTAATGTCAAATGTGCATGCACAAGAGAAAAATGGCACCAAAACCAGTTTGAATTAATGTGCATTTTAATGACATGAAAAGAAGTGGGTGAGGGTATACATAGGTTTTGTCCTGCTCCTTTTCCACTTTCATATCAAACAGTATTCTGCATTCCCTTTTCCTTTAGATAAAAGAATAAACAAACAACAATTATAGTGTGATAAACATGACACATTGAGTCAATACAAGGGACATAAGTACACAGATCTATTAGCGTTCATTTCCTTTGTCCTTAACGGAATCATCATGGAGACTGCATATTTAAAATGTTCTTATATCATTGGTATCTTTTAATTTCACAGACAAACTGTCTCATGACATCTGGAAGTTAGTTACTGTTCTTCTTGTCCTCACATTTCCCACTTTATCCCTGTAATGGTTTCCTCAACCTCTTTGTGGATCACTCTTCACCGTCACTGTATACTTGAAGCTTGGAACTGATATCCACCTCTTTGATAAGATAAGATGGACATTATTGATCTCACACAGGAGAAATGTACATGTCACATCTGGCATGGATAGAATCACTCAAGATTTGTGCAAAAGAAAGATGTGTGCAAACATGTTAAAGGCAAAAAATATAGTCTTTTCAGGATATACAGTATTATGTACAATAAAAGTGGTAATAAAGAAACAGTGGCAATAGTAATGCAGTGGGTGGGAGGTTCCTGATGGAGGTGACTTGGACTAGCACCTTCCTGTCCCTCACCTCCTCCACAGAGTCCAGGGAGCAGCCCAGAGTGGAGCTGGCCCTCCTGACAAGCTTGTTCAGTCTGCTCATGTCCCACTCTGTGCTGCCTGGGGCCCAGCACATAGGGCATCTCACTTGGTTTTAGGCACTTTCATCATCAAAAATGTGTGGGTTTTTTTTCAGGGAAAGAATAATGCTTCATTTACAAATTGGGTTTGGAAATTTTAATAATTAAAATAATCTATATTTTTGAAACAGTGGTGTGATATGATCCAGATGCCAACCTTGTGTACATATACGTTTGCCTCTATAACACACATTATACACACAGTTACCAAAGTGCTGTACAGAAACAAGATTATACAAATAATAATGATAGTATATTACAAACATCTGTCAATGAATTGGGATAGAGCGATAATAAAGTTCCAATAGTTAAAAACATTTCATCATGATTTATACCACTACTTCTTGGTACATGAAAATCAACAATTAAAAAAAAAAAACATTGCGTGGAAATAACGACACTGAACCAAATTAATGTGATTTGCCATTATTCAGTTTCACCACAAGAGGTCACTAGATACTGCCATATCCCCTCAAGCGACCACGTTGTTTCTGGAGATGTAACGACACAAAGTCACCACTGCAGGGCGCTATCATCCACTTTGATTCATACGTGCTCAGTTTGTGGACCAGTCAGTTGATGGTTCGGGAATCACTCTAAAACGTGTCAGTTTGTAATTAGTCTAATTACACAATTATTCTAACATGTAAAAAACAACACAATGAAACAGGGTCATCTTGCAGAAATTACACATTCATCCCCCTAGTAAAGTTTGGGCGTTCCAGATTCATCAGCTACTCCCTCCAGAGTCAATATGTGTGTGCAGCGTTCCTCCACTACTAGCGGCGAACAGGATCCATGCTCCTTCCACGCACACTCGCACTCATTTATTATGTCTGTCCCGGACACGTATCTCTAGTGAATCTGGCGCGGAGAAAACGCACGCATCATGACCCCCGTTCGGCAATTTGCGGTTATAAACTGAGTGTGATCTTGAACAATGAGCACAGGGCCCAAAGGTTGCTTATGTCTACAGTCTAACTTTCTGATGGATCGGGAGGTACATCTAAGAGCCAAGACACACTGATAGGAGGACCACGTATTCCCTCATCACGATAATTGTGTTCAATAAACCTAAGTCTAAACGACCTTTCTGGCCACCTCATGCCCAATAATACCATTTTCCATTCCCGTTCCAATTATTTAGTAATTGCTACATACCCAACATAGTTTCTCAGGAGGCACTTAAACCCAATCGTTCTGCCAGCACCAGATCGATACTCAAACAGGTGAGTGACCTGGATCATCCACCCCCTGTACATTTCACTTAGACTCCCTCGGAATCAACATGCCCTTCCTCCTTGCAACGCCCACACTGTTCAACCCAGATGGACAGTTCTTAACGGTGCTAATAATAACGGTCACACGACAGTTCGACTAAGACCGTGTTATCTCGGGCTAAAAGACACGGTGCTATAGTCACGGCTGCTGCTAATTGGCAATATGTGAAGGGCTATCGAAGGCTGTAATAAACCTGGCCTGTAGAACTTGCAATTTTATCGCACGGGCTATATAGACCGTGGCTATAGCCGTTTTATCTAAACGGGCTCTGAAGAGGCCTTGAAGAAAGGGCTAAAGAACGTGCTGATAGAACAGGGAGTTGATAGGGCTGAAGCACGGGGGTTGTAGAAGGTGACTCGAACGGGTGTTCGAACTGTCCTCTAGCCCGGGCTATCGACGTGTGTAATAACTTTCTAACGCCCTGGTACTCCGTACCTGTCTATAGCCCGTTAGAATCAT